TTTACCTGAAATTCTTGGTAAAGTGAAATTCGAGCCGAAAATTGAGAGCCACAAAGGGACCCCCGAATTTGGAAAGGTCCACTGGGCCTCATGGACATCAAATTTGGTCACCAAGAGCCCAGATCATGAAAATTACGATTTTACCCTTTGTAGGCTTGAATTGTATCTTTGAGTAAAAAGACTTTTTTACCCCTAAGCCTTTTTGGAATCCTTTGGTTTATGGAATGGCAGAATGGTCTTTCTACCGCTCCATTATTGGCCGGCCATATAGGGGTGAAAAATGACCAAACTACCCCTCTCATATTCTCTTTATTACATTTTTGCCCTTGGATATTTACCTTGGCATGTTTTACAAGATTCAATAATAGCCATTGATCTTGGCTTGTTGGGTAAGAAGTGATATTGGCCATCCATCTTTGGGTGTGTCTTAATAGACACTTTTCTCTCTCTTGATCCCTCTCTCACTTTGGTTTCATTCACTTTCTCCCTTGCACTCTCTCATTCCCCTTGTTCGGCCACCACCCGCCACCATTGCCGCCGCCACCAGCCACCATTGTCGTCGCCCTCAAGCCGCCCTCGTCATCGCCATCCATAGCCATGACCGTCGTGGCTGTTCGCCATCCGCCGCTCCTCACCGCGGGCCGCCGTTAGCTAGCTTCCCTTAGTTTAAGAGTAAGTTACTCTCTAAACCTTGGTTAGGATGCTAGGTTGTTAATGGATTTGGTTTAGGGGCTGATTAGGGTGATTAAAGGTGGATTAGATAAGGGCTTATCATGGTTTAGCTTATAGCCTATATTGATTAGTTGATTGCTTATCAAGTTTTGTGTGATAGCTTATTAAGATTTGTGTGATAGCTTATCAAAATTTGGGTGATAGATTATCAAGTTTTGTGTGATAACTTATCATGTTAAAATTGGCGACGTATTTTGGTTTGACAATCAATTACTTGTATGGGGTTTGAAGCTTGATATACCATGAAAGATGATTGCCCAATTTAAAAACCTTGGTGACTATTAGTAAAAAAAGATTTTATGGACATATAAATGGTGACTAACGAGAAGTCGTGTTTGGATGCCACGTTTTATGAGTGGAATGGGGCAAGGGAGTTTGAAAATGAAAGCTTGCAAAGTTTGATGGGTTCATTGTGTGTATGTAATCACATATAAATTTATTACTGCATTTTTACAAGTGAAAGTTGCAGTACCTTGTTGTGTGAGCACAAACTACGTTTGCCTTTGGTTAAATACGGAGATGATAATGAATTGTGCGGTGGTTGTACTCGTGTGATCACATAATATCCTGATGCGTTTTATACGGGGTTGAACCCGTCCTTATGCGTTTTATGTGGGACGATTCCCGATTTATCGGATGCCCGGAGAGTGTCAGGATGCCGAGTCGCGGTAGAGGGCAGATCGATCTCCTTATGGAATGCCATCCTGATACGTTTAACGTAGGATGTTGCCGTGCCTAATGGGGCGGAATGATGCCAGGTCATCCCGGAAAACCGCCAACCTGATGCGTTTTACATGGGTTGTGCCGTGACCCGAGGGGTCGTTAATAATCTGGACTATCACGAGTGCGAGGTGCATCGATGAGTGATACGTGTCTGAGAATGATGATTGAGCATGTATGGATTATTAAATTGTGGTTGTGCATGATGATGCAATGAGATATGTTGAATGTGCCTCTTGAACATATACATTATTGTGGCTCCATTATGTGCTCGATGGAGCGATTGCCATCGATGCTAGAATAGCATGTTTATGGTGATTCAGAGGCAATGTGTTCTCCTAAACGAGGTTTAGGGAGCTTACTTACTGAGTTTATCTCATTATTGTTGTTTAACTGTTTTCAGACCCCCGATTATGAATCGATCTCCTATGCTGTTCGCGGTGCCAATGGATATGGGCACTATAGTAGCGGAGTATCCAATCGGATCGGATAGAGCGTATCATAAGTATTCGACAACTGTCTGGGTTGATGAGGGGTTAGCCATATGGAAACCGCACGTATTTCTTACTTGGTTCATAAGAGAAGGAGATAAGCTGTTTGGACTGATTAGAGGTTTTGACGGACCCCCTAATGGTGGAGTTGGAGAGGAGGTTTAGGACCATATGGATCTCAACTCTCCGGATGGAACCGTTTCTGATCCGGAGACCGATCCGGATGACATGGAGTCTGATCCGGAGACGCCTCCTGGATACCATCAGCTTTGGTGATAGGTTTCGATGCCCATCTTTTTTACCGTCCCCCTTTTTGACAGAGAAGCTAGGTTAATCCGACCATCCTCATCCCTTTTTGTATGCTTGGTTTTTTAGGAAGCGGCCTTGAGATAAGGCTTGTAATTATGAAACCTTCATAGAGTTAACGAAATGTTTATAAAATGGTTTAGTTATTTAGCATCTCAAAAGTGTTTTCCTTACTATCCCACTTTGTTGATTGTTGTTGGGGAGTTTGAGTACGCTTCCACGTGCGTTTAATTGAAAGATAAAAAGAATGGGTTGGCGACGCGTCTAAGGGCGTCGCATTTAACGACCGAGAAAGGATGTTAGCGATCTCAATGGGGCGCGGGCGTGACACTTGGCCTTGCGGATTCCCAACTAGGGCACCAACGACCTAAGTGTGGGAGCCAAGTACTAGGCTTAGCTATTGGGGTCCCGTACACAAGCGTGGGGATCCGAGCCCAACCTCAAGGGTCTCGGGGCTCGGCTGACGAGGTCCTTGGTCCGGCCTTGAGGAACCGAGGCTCGAGCATCAAGGTCCTAAGTCCAAAACTCCATGATCCGTTCATATTCCGGTAAATGCTTTCTGTTTTTCAAAATATGATGTCATTTTCCTAAACTTAAGCATAAACTTTCAATTAACTACGAAAAAATTTCCCGTCCATTCATTTTATCAAACAATCCAAACATCGAAAAAGAAGAAGAAACACTTTTCGAGGGAGAAACATATCGCGAAGAGACGGATCCAGTACTTTAAACACATCGCGCCGTGCATCCCGAAGAACAAACGTGCGCCCTTGAACTTCAAAATCACGACACGACGAGCAAGCATTTCATTCATATATACATTCAATTCGAGCATAAATTCAACACAACCACGATGAGACGAGACGGGGAGATACAAATTGGCAGCTCTTTTCCAATCATCGGATTCCAACATCAGGTACCAACGACCCCCCATGGGTACCCGAAAAACCATCCTCCTCCGCCGCCGCCGCCCTGAAAACTTTTGATGTTTCCCGTGGTTAATATCCACCTTCAATTTTCCTTTTGACCAAAGAAAACTTCAATTTATTTTATTTTATTTGCTATGAAATATATATTAAAAGGGTATTTATCCCAAATTACAATGGGTATATAGATCGTGTACTAGTATTTGTAATATATGACGTCATCCGAAGTTGGAATGCCCCTTGCCCTTGATGATGATGACTCCAATGCGAAGATGAGTTATTCTATTTACCACGATGCGAAACGTCAGGATGATGTCATATGGATCATTTTCGCATTTTGCATTTTGTCAAACGCCTAAAACCCTTTCATGATATATAAAAAATTAATGCAAGAAGCCCCTTACTAATTTCTCATTCATTTTCTCGGAATACCGAGAGACGATGAAAGTAACCTTTTAAAGCCGAAACAGAGTAAGATGGGACCAGGACGGAAACTCGAGCTACTTCGGGCGCGTTTGGATCGGCTTAGGGGGGAAAGTCTTTTGGGAAAATGCAAAAAAATGTAGGCAAAAGGGAATTTGTAAAATGTAAATAATGTTTTTTTTTTGGTCAGAGCAAATAATGTTTAGTAAAATGTAATTTAAAAACTTATTGAAAAGCAATTTTGACGTAATCGCCATTCAAAGAAAACGATACTTTATAAAAGGGCTTTCGCTAGTCTCTTTATTCATAAAAAAAAAAAATCCCAAATCTTTATGGTGAAATTCAGTTGCTGACAAGCTAAATCAGCCACTTACAACGGCGATCCAATTAGCACGGGACTTCGCAGTCGTCACGGACGCGTGATCGGGCCGACCCGCTCTCGGAGGTGGCGAATTCGGGTTATTTTCCAGGAGAAATAAAGGTAGTAAAAAAAAAAAAGAAAGAAAGAAAGAGAGCATATGTGCTTTACTATTTAGGATGGCAATAGCTACCTACCGCATAAAATAATAATATTAATAATAATAATAATAAAGAAAAAGAAATAACCATGAAGATTCGGGGCAGCTTCTCACGCGAAAACACAGATTTCCTCAAAAATGATTTCAGACAATTTGACCCCCCTCCCCTCCCAAAAAAAACAAAAAAAGATTTTCAGACAAATCGCCTCGTCCCAAAAAAATCTAGTCAAATTAAGGAAAAAAAAAATTTGCCCGGACAAATTTGCAATAAAAAAGGATGGCGGCCAAAATATTTTCCGAATAAAACAATAATAAAATGAGATAAAATAAAAATAAAAAACAAAAAATAAAAGAAATTCGCGACGAATGCGACGGCCCTCTCTCAGGAGCTTGGAATCATCTGGGACTTCGTCTGCGCCTCCTCCTCCTCCCCTCCTTCTACTCTCTCTCCTCGGCGAATTTCTCCGTCGACGACTTCTGCTGCAAGAGAGAGAGAGAGAGAGAGAGAGCAGAGCAGAGCAGAGCAGCAAGTGAAGGAGGGTTAAAGCTCCCGCCTTTCCATGGATGGAGTAGCGTAGCAACAGTCGGGGGCTTCCGCTTTGCGTGTCGCGCCTCGCTACGTATATATAAAGCAGCCCCCCGCCCCCCGGGCGGTGCGACTTGCGAGGGAGTCAAACCCCCCGGAGCTCCTCGAGCTTCGTCCCCGACTTCCCCGAAGGTTCTCGCCGGCTTAGGGTTCTTCGTGCTTGCTTCGTCCCGATCGCCGTTCCCCCGCCGCGCTCGAGTTCCTCCTCGTCGGCCGGCGGAATCGGGGAAAGGATTGGGCGGCGGTTGGATTGGAGCCGGGCTCGGCTTCCCGGAGCGGCGGCCGTGCGGAAGCGGAGCTGAGGCTCGGGGCGTGGGAAGAAGGGCGGAGCAAGCGCGCGTGGGGTGGGGTGGGGTGGGGTGGGAGGGGGTGGCGCTCGACATGGTAATCGGGTTCTGAGGATGCCGAGCTTTGTTCCAGCGAATCCGGCCTCCAATTCCATGTGAATTCCTCTCTCTTTCCCTCTCCCGAGCTGGCTTTGAGTTTTGCTTACGGGTTTGTTGTTTGGGTTTTTGGATTTGTTGACCGATCGTTTCGTGAGCTCGAGCTGTCCGAGCTTATATTTCGGGGGGCGTCGGGAAGTGATTTGAATTTGCGATTGTGTGGGCTCCCCTGCGTTGCGACGCTCCATTTTTTTTTAGGTTTTCACGGTGCGATTGTTGTTTTTAGTTGTCTTCCTTGCTTAGCTCGATGGGATTGTCCGGATTTTCTTTACTGGCTCGGATGTGGTGCGGAGGTGAAAATATTGTCACTTTCGAGTTTAGTAAAAGCTTCGGTTTATCTGAGAAAGGGGGGTGCCTCCGTGCAGTAGGGGTGGGCCCAGAGGCTTTTCTTGGCACTGCTGTACTTCTAGGGACCGAGGGACTGAGGCTGTCCCCCTCCTGAATATGGCAGAACTTTGCAGTTACCTAGGTTTATTGTACCCGGTCTCTGTCTTTTGGTCTGATTCGGAATCTATGAAAGAGTTTGTGGATTGAAACAACGCAAAATATCGCCTATAAGAACGGATTTTGACTATGTTTGGACAGCAGGAATTTTGAGATGGTTATATCTTATTACAAGGCCCCTTAGTCCTACAGTAAACACTTGCTTGCCTTGGAAACAGAATAGTTGGAGCGTTGAGGTTCTTTCTAGCTTTCATTCTTCAGCTATTTAAGCAGCCTTGGGGAAATTCTGACAAATGAAAAAACTTAAAATGTTGGGGTCTCATTATGTCGATCAGCGTTGCATGTGGAGAAAGGATACCGAAACTGTGATTCATCTTTTAATCCAATGTGAAGTGGCCTTTGCAATGCGGTCTTCATTTCTGATTAAAGCTAAAGGGGCCTTGTGGGACACCAAGCTCTGTTAGAGAGAGTGGTGCAACGGAGTTAGAAATTTCAACCTGGAGATTTGTCTTGCGTTGCATCTCATGGAATTCTCTGCTGGAGAGAAATGGAAGTTTTAAGGAATCGGAGTTGCCACTTGTCAATTGTTGAGAAGATTTTCTCTGAACTAGAAACCGTCTACAGAGAATCCACCAACATGATGGATACTATACATTCGATTTTCATATTGGTGTTGGATTAGGATGTCATTTGACTTTTTTTTGTAGCTTCTTTACCTTGCTTTTCTTTTCTGCTTCATCTCTTATATGCTTCTTGTATACTTGGGTACCATACTTTTTACTTTCTGATAAATTTTCGTTCTTTACATAAGTAATAATGATAACAGAAAGAAATAATATATCTTTCCATAGTATTTGAGTAGTATTTCTTGCATTCTTCTAATGCGTGGAAGGTTTGATTCCTTTTTGTTAATCCATCATTTTTCATTGGTAATGGGATGTGAATTCGTGGTCCCTTTTCTTGAATATTTGTAGGAGTGATAGACCATTAGTGATTAATTTTGTCAAGTTGGAAATTTATTTATAGTTTCTTTCAATGGTTGTCAATATATAAATGCAACAAAATATGTGAGACTATGTGTCACAGAAGTCGACTTTTAAAAAGAAAAGATACCTTCTCATGATTCCTTTCCTGGATATGGTTCACTGTTCCTGGTTGCTTGTCATTAGTAATTTCTTCTTTGTACAGATTTTAGTGTGATTTTTGGGATTAGTACTAATGATGCAATATCTGTCTTCCAGTGGTTCGGAGGGAAACATTGTCCAGTCTACTCAAAATACAGATTTTGGGTCATTTGAGCATTCTTTTGGATTCCGCATAGAGGATGCTATCAACCTTAGCAGAAGTACGTATTTGGCCTCTTTATCTTTTGATATGTAATAATCTAAACTATATTGAGGACGGACAATGTTACTGCTCAATGTCACTTCTATCAGTTACCATGTACCTTTTGTTTATGCTCATAAATCTGGAAAGAGTTGCAGCTCTGTCTCATCTTATCCAATGATGCTGTCTCATGAGTAACTCAGCCCCTAGTTCATCTGTTTATGGGCCTAACTGTTCTGTTTAACTTCTATTGGCTGTGTCTGTCACCAGAAATTTGAGCTTCTCTTAACCTGTAATTACCCATCCCATACTCCAACCTCACTCTTCAATGGTCCTTAAGGGTGATTTACATTTTTTAGAGAGATTATTAGGGTTTGACCTGCAAAATTTCCCGCCAAATCTTGTTGACAAATTGGTGGGAACTCGTAGTAGAGAACGTATCTAAGTTTCGATTGGTTTTACAGAAAGTTGTTTCTTTGTGGTAAAAGAGGTGAAATTTTTTTCTGGGTGTGCACTAATTATGATTTCCTTGTACGTTTTGCCTTTTGTATCGCTGCGAAGTTCTCAACTGACTGCCATCTGATGTTTCTCAGCAGATCCTGTCTTTAATCAGATAAAATCGAACAGTCGAGCGCTTGGAACTGACATTCAAGTTCGTGCTCTTAATAAGGTCTCTTTACCTTTAAGCTTCTTGTTTTTCTTGTAAATTGTCAAATCAAAAGCTCTTATGCTCTTTGTTCTGGTGAATTTCAGTCTGTTGTAGCCTCAGAAACAGATCAGTCTTCCACCGCTTCAGCCTCTCAGAGAATACCTTTACAAAAAGAGTCACAGCGAAATCTGGTCTCCATACCTGGTGGTCATTCTGAAAATTGGGGGGATTCAAATATGGCAGACACCAGTCCAAGGACTGAAACATCAACTGATGACACGGATGACAGAAATCAAAGGGTATGTCTACCACTACAGTTTATATGCTGCTTTATTTAGCTTTTTGGATGTGGAAAGCAACTGGGATAATTGATGGGTTTTTCTTGGAGCTTTTTTCTACATTTGGCTGTAGCTTGAAGGCTTGAAATTCACTAAAGTCTCCATTCTTTCAGGAGCTTGAAGCAGGTCCATCAGCTGCTCTGGTAGCTTCCGACTCTAGTGGTAGATCAAAAGAAAAGCCTGCAGATCAGAAGGTATAAGGTCTAATCAAATTATGATTCTGTGTTGCAGCCTTGTAATATAAGTTTTTAATCAGCAGAGATTGTTTACAGACATTACGCAGACTTGCTCAAAATCGTGAAGCTGCAAGGAAAAGCCGACTGAGGAAAAAAGTAGGTATCACAACTTCAGGTTTTTCTTGTCCAACTAGAGGGGAAATTGCATTGTACTTGATTCTAGCATACTAGACGCTTGTTTTCATACATAGTATTGTCAAATCACCTCCTGATATTTACTGGAGAGCAGCCCTTTTCTTCCCCTTCATGATATCTAACTCATTGTGTTCCAAAATATGGCTTTTGAAGGACAGATATTTTCTGACCCCCCCAAAAAAAGACAAATTTAAAATGTTTCTAGCGCACGAGATATTTGGATGTCCTCCAAGATTGAATATGAGTTTTAAAGCAGAAACGTATCAATCAAATTTTTGGCCTGATCTCTTTCATGTTCGCAAGCTTTAATCATATTGAAATGTTGCTCTTTTTCTTCATTTTCTCTTTTGGCTATCCTCTACAGGCGTATGTACAACAACTAGAGAGTAGCCGTCTGAAATTAACCCAACTTGAACAAGAGCTCCAGAGAGCTCGCCAGCAGGTTTGTGCTTTTTTCTTAGTTTGCTTTTTCATGGGTTATTTCTTTTGCTTTGTAATCCAATGTGTTTCTTCAAATGCAGGGAATTTTCATTTCAAGTTCTGGTGATCAGTCCCATTCCAACAGTGGAAATGGTATTGTAGAAGTCTTCAAGCATCTCTTTGTTTAGAGTGTTTCCCCTCCCCTCTTGTTCTTCCCCACCCCCCCAGTCCTCCCTGCTTCCCTCTTTTGCAGTCTCTTTTTCCACCTGTAGGCTGGTTTTGACAGTGCCGATTTTATGCCAATTTGATCAGTTATAACCTCCTTTTAGTATATTGAAATTTATATCATGTAGATTCTCGGTTTCCTTTGTGTGGAGAAATCAGGGTGTTCATTTCTGTCTCCCCTTGTTTTTTCCCTTTGGTTGCCAGACAAGTTGGTAGGATCATAGTGTGTTGTTCACCCCCCCAGGTCTCTCTCTCCCTCTCTTCCGGTTCACATGTGTGTAATATTATGTGCTGAACGAAATTTTTTTTCTTTTGTGGTATACAAAGGAATATAGTCTTGTCTCTTGTGTGGCTGCAGGATATATTTCCCCATTGTGATTGTCTTGATTAGTTGGTGGTGGTTGAGTTGGTTTATTGTGAACAGATTGGATCATGATAGTTGAAATGTGTTATTTAACATTGCAATGGTCCACAGGTGCCATGGCTTTTGACGTAGAGTATGCACGGTGGCTTGAGGAGCAGAACAGGCATATTAATGAGCTGAGAAGTGCTGTAAATTCGCATGTGGGTGACACGGAACTCCGAATAATTGTTGACAATGTCACGACACACTATGATGACATCTACAGACTGAAAGATACCGCAGCAAAAGCTGATGTATTCCACATTTTGTCAGGAATGTGGAAGACTCCAGCAGAGCGGTGTTTCATGTGGATTGGTGGCTTCCGTTCCTCTGAGCTTCTTAAGGTGATATCTTCTATTCATGTACTAACTTCTGTAAAGATAACGTGATCCATGAAAGCTTGATAATTTAAATGCAAATGAAAATGCCATCTCTTGTGAAGTACATTTAGAGTTTCGGAAGTGCCTGATGATTAGAATGTTGTGAAACCGGAGGGGACTTGCGGTTCATCTGGATATCAGTCACTGGTCCGGGCTTGTCACGAGTCAGAATCGGCTTTGGTCAAAACCCGATTGTCTAACCTGTTCAACTGATGGACTGGTGAATGAAACCAATCGAAATCTGGTCGGCTTGCAGTTTCTGTAATGGGTCACAATGAGAAGTCATGGATGGCTCAGTCTAGACTTTGTAAATTTTGACTTGAGGCTTTCATGTGCTTTTGTTGGGCTGTTCTTGTCTTGCTTATGTACCAAAGCAGAAGATGTAGCCATATACTTCGAACCTTGGACTCCTTGTAACATCTCGGTGATGCTCCCCCGACTGTACCTGGTGTCCCTGATGGGTGCATAACCCAAAGCCTATTTTATTTGTACTTTTAATGATGTTATCTGATCTCTGGTTGAACTGCCAACGAGCCCATTTGACCAGTAATCCTCTCCGTTTTTTTTCCCAAAGGCCTGACCAATACTTCGATTGTCCACTTTTGAAAAAATTGAACAATTCTGTGATTTCTCAGTCCTTGACCAGGATTAGTTGCAAAACCACTGCCATAAATATATGTTGTTTATCCAGGCATAAGCTAAAGAGTAAGTGACTGTCTTGTCTTCAAAAATAGTTGGATGTATACCGCAGGGTTGTAACTCCTGGAATTTGTCTATTCTATTTGCCGCTGCTCTTGATTTTCCTTTCTAGTTATATTGTTGCTGGTTCTTTCTTTCAACAAGAGTGTTCATTTTTTCTGAATCCGGACGCCCGGTCTTTGTTGCAGCTTCTTTTGAATCAGCTGGAGCCTCTGACAGACCAACAACTAATGGGCCTATACAACCTACAGCACACATCACAACAGGCTGAAGATGCTCTTTCTCAGGGTATGGAGGCATTGCAGCAATCTCTGGCTGAGACGCTGGCCAATAGCCCACCTGGTTCAACTGAATCATCTGGTAATGTGGCAAATTACATGGGACAAATGGCGATGGCAATGGGGAAGCTGGGGACTTTGGAGGGCTTCCTTCGCCAGGTAAATGTGATTTTGTTTCAGCACTAACTGCTTGTGCCGGATTCTCCAACGTTCATGTTGAGAAAAAACTCAACTTGGAAGTGGAAAAATTGAGTTGGCTGTTTACATTTCTTCATTTGCATGTCTTGTTGATGTCAAGTTCGGCTAGAACTGCCGCATGAGCCTGGCAGCATCTTACCTGCATTTTGTGTACTTTTGGATGCCTTCCCTTTTATGTTTCTCATTTGCATGTGGTACTTTTAGGACGGAAGAAGTGCCTGAAAGAGTAGTATAGAATTCTCTCTCTAATACGGGGAAAACAAAGAAGTAGCTATACTTACTGTCTCTACACAATTTGTCAAAGGCTGTTCTGGATGTCGATCTGGTCTCAACTTACACAATTTTCTTTCTTTCTTCCTCCAACTAATGATTCATCTTCTCTTCTAGTTTGTCGCTCTTTCATTTCATTGTTCTCCTCAGACTTTTCTGACGTGTATGGGACTATTCGTTTCTTGAATCCTTCATAGAACAATCCCAAAGAGTGGGATAGTTTGTACGCATTGCTGTGCCTATTTTCTTAAGGGAGGCCATTTGCTTGTGTCTTTTTACCAGGCTGATAATCTGCGTCAGCAAACACTGATACAAATGCACCGTATACTCACGACTCGGCAGTCAGCACGTGCTCTCCTCGCAATACACGATTACTTTTCGAGACTCCGGGCTCTCAGTTCTCTATGGCTCGCAAGGCCACGGGAGTGACAGAAAATCAAGATTTTTGTCCTGACCGACTCCCTGTGGCCGTTAAGTTGATGGAGGCGAAATCATTCCGCAGACAGCGAGTCCTTTGATTGAAAGTGCTCCCGTTGTCGCCGCTGCTGATCTCGAGAGGCGCGGTTTAACTCTAATTTGGGGTGAGCAAAGTCATGTCTCTGTAACAAAATCATGTGTTTGTTGTTGTAGCATTTTTAGCTAGTGGTTGTATATTGTTGTAATGCCCCCCTCTAGGACGGTTGAGCTGATAAACTATTCAGGTTGAATGTTCTTATTGATTAGAAACAATCCTATTTGGCAGTGAATAAATAGAGGTTTCATTGTAAAGGGGAACAGAATTTACTTATTCCGATGATGATGATGCTTCGTCCGTTTTTGTGGTATGCCGTCCTATCCCGACATGGAAGCTGATTTCATTGGTCCCTTATTAGAATGAGTGAATGAAATAGAAAAGGTATGTAATATAAGTATTCTGATCTCTTTATTCGGCATAATGAATGCTTGGCCAACTTCCTCGTGTTGTCGTTAATGATCATTATGCAGGGCCAAGCTCGCAGTTCCCTCACCAGGTCAAGCCGAATCCGAACATCTAGCCCGTTGCCTTGAGTCGAGCACAGCCGGTGCTTGGTTACTAGTCCATTAACAACCCGTTGGCATTCAAGCAATCGCCAAAAAGTGCAAGCAAAAGGCTCCATAGTAAAAAGAAAACAATACCGACTTACAGAGGCACAAAATATAAGTATATGCAGACCCTGCTTGATGCGATCTCACGCAAAGCGGGAAATACGGACATTTCCGTCTTACAGTCGTCCAAAGCCATATCGGCATCATCAGGCTCATGAAAAGAAACACTATTGCAGTAGCCGTGCCTCGACAACCCGCATGTTGTTTCATCGTAACTTTACAACTACAGTTTCCTAACGTGAACACCAGTATTGAGCACTTGGAAGTCCTACAAAGCATCTGAAAAGGATTCAAACCAAAGCGGAATTTGTGACAACAGGCGGGATCAGAAAATTTGACTTACGATAAATAATAATGATCAAGGCTTACAATGCAAAGAGACTATATAAAGAGCAACCCAACCCTCAGTCGAGCAAATCCGACACCAGAGTCTTCCTGAATGGATCGATTTGGGCCAGCTGAGACTCCATGCTTCTAGTTGGAGTTATGCCTTCCACCTTCAACCTCTCTCTAATTCCATAAGCTGGGACTTTTCCTTTTGCATAAGCGTTGAGGAGACACTGGTATTGCCGAATGCGAGACGTGTACCCAGACTGTCTCATCCGGTAGAGGATCTTTTCGGTATTATGGACATCACCCCTTTTGGCATAATGATCCAAGAGAGACATGTAAGAGCTGAACATTGGCTTCATCTGATTCTGTTGTGATGCCTTCGTCAAGACTGAATCGGCCTTCTCCACTTCACCTGCTTCCACATAAAGCTTCACAATCGAATCCCAGGTAAATGGACCGATGCGACATCCACTATCTGCCATTCTCTTGACTAGATCCTTCCCCTTGGCCAGCATCTTGTTGCTCGCATACACCTTCAAAAGTACCGTGTAATGCTTTGATGACACTTTCCATGTTTTCGACATCCTTTCAAAAATTGCCTCAGCTTCCGGGATTTTCTTCAACTTTCCCCAGGCTTCAATAGCAGCAATGCACTCTTCAAGCCGTGGATTTGGTTCACAGACCTTCCAAACTCTCTCTACTTCATCGGCCTCTCCTATGTCAGCATATAGCGGAAGCAAAGACTGACAAGCCCACCAGTGCTTTTTAAGGTCTCCACCTTCCATCTCCTTCAAGACAGCCTTTGCCTTTTCTATCAATCCGCTGGATGCATAGTGCTTCGCCAGGAGAGCTTGTGTGCCGATGTCGGGTTTGATCCCTTCAGCTTTCATAGCATCCACAATTTTTTCCATCCCTGTAATGTCATTTGACTGGCCTTTGGTGTCTATCAGAAGTCTGTACGTAAGCATTGTCGGCTTGACATTTTCTTTCTCCATCAACAACAAGACATCAGCAATTTTCTTCTTGTCAAGCCTCTTGTAAAGGAGAAGCAGTTGGTTGAAGGAAAATGATTGAGGGGAGAATCCTCGATCCCTCATTTTGTTAAAAGTTTCCTCTGCCTTCGTGACATTGCTGGCAGTAACATAGTTGGCCAACAAGGACCGATGGACTAGTTCCCCTCTGAAGGATTCAGGAATCTTATTAAAGAAGCTCTCAGCCTTAGGGAGTCCACGTACCTTAGCAATCAAATCAAGTCGAGATGCATAATCTCCCTCTGTAGGGTCCAATCTCTTGCTACTGTCCAACCACTCTGAAAGCTGCAAACCACCAAAAGTAAAAATATGTAAATAAAGCACCTTGAAAATCATGCTTATAAGAGATGAGTGATAAAGGACCTAGGAGAACCATCTAACTTCGCCGGATCAACTGATCACATCCAACAAAACAATACTACCCAATGGAAAAGAAGAACTGAAGCCCCATTGGTTTTGCACCAATACCTCATAAACTGTCTGCATCACTGGCTAATGTCTTAATCATAAAGATCCTCTTCAATATATTTGATCCAAATGACAAGCTTATGACAAGGCAATGCAAAAGCAGAGTCTTAATTTTTCACTCAAAACTGTTAGCAAAGGGCAGTGTTAACGAATAATATACAGATCTCCCTTGTTTCTTCAAACTTTTTTGTCATAAAAGAGATCTACAAAATCTCGATTGTAAATTTTGTTTTTTAACCTACAAAAACAGAAGCACTTTATAAATCTGTACTGTCATATGTTGGAAATTCTTTTGGCTGAACTAAATATCTAAGAAGCAGCTTATCTGAAATCAAAAGATGATTTGCGGCCAGTATACCGAAACATGATCACAAGTACCTCAGAAGGCAGTTCTCCTCTAACAGCCAAATGTTAGCCAATGATTAAACTAAACTACGAGCAGAAGATGACCAAAGAGAAAATACATAAGGAGAAGTGACTACAGAATGAGAGTGTCGAGACTTGAGTGTGGCCAATGAGATTTACCAGCAGAGCCTTCCCATATATTCGACGTTTACGAAAATTGAACATGGCCAATGAGATCTCTTCCCTGTTAATTTCCTTTCCATCTTCTACCCACTTGTCAAGGATTTGATGCACAGAGAGGCCAGAAGCACTGTTGATGGCCTCAAACAGTTTCGATGTAGCTCTTTTTCGTGATTTTTTCTTAGTTGACTCCATTTCATTCTCTGGCAAATCGAACTCATTCTGAGAGGCTTTTTCTGCATCCTCGTCAGCAGAGAGCTCTGGCTCAGAAACTAATTCATCCTCACTTTCGTCTGCTGAATCAACCTTCTGAACAGCCTTGGTACTGACAGGCTCTTCGAGTTCAGAAAATGCATCTTCTTCTTCTTCTCCGCTGCTCTCAGCACCAGGTTGTGAAGAGAGAAGACGGCTCCCCATAGACAATCGGTGAGTGAGGCTTGTTGAACAGTAAGATCTCTCCAGAGATGGATATCTACCAGATGTTGCTTGACAGGACTCGACAATGCCAGCATTATCTCCAAAACAACTCCAATCGGGTTTAGGGGAGTGAACTCGCAATATTGAAATGCTAAATCTGTGGTTCCTGAAAACATAAAGCAAGCATTCTCTAAGAATATTATATAAGCACACACATGTTGCTGGAAGCAAAGAGTTGTTAATTACTCCATCAACTGTTTTGTCCTGAATGATTACAGTAAACATAAACACAGCAGGCAAAAGCAAGTGTCGGGTCAAAATCAAGAAAAAGGGTTGGGCAGGACAAACAGCAGATGGAGCTGTCAAGGTGCCCAATCATGGGTGTCAAATAATCAACAATTGCAGCAATGCAGTTCAAAAGTAGCCTTAGATCGGGCAACATTTGTTTCAAATACCAACAATCTCTGAAAGAGAGATCGAAAGAAAATCAACCTAAAAGACCAGCAAAACATTCCACATTCTCCTTGATATCCAGTTCAAGACCACGCATCTAAATTGCCGCGTTCAATCTACCTCTCAGAAACCACGGCCAAGGCTACCAGGTAAAACCCAAAAGCCCCGAACGAAGAAGCACAAGGCAAGTCGACCAAAAAATTCATGAAGAGAACTTAACATTCTGAAATTGCGCGCGGGAAAGAATAAAACGAAGCAAGAAACAGAGCAATGAACACGGAACCCATCAACGACAAAACCCTCTTCTCAACACAATTTGCCCCGCTTCATGCCAGATAAAAAACAGAGAGATCCCAACTCCAAGAAACATCCCACAGCAAACAAAGACCCAAAACCCCAAACAAGGCGGGGGCCTTCATTTCCGGCCTTTCCCTCCCGTTCATTTCACTCTCAGAGCAACCTCACGCAAAGAGCTCGAGAAAACAAAACAGTACAAGCGCAAACCAGCCACGTGATGAACTGCAGAGAAAACAGAACAGAGGAGGCAGAGAACGTTACTTGAGAGGATGAGAAGCACGGCGAAGAGCCCACATGATGAGCTTGCTGCTGAACCCGAACGAAGGAAAGGAAAACGCAAGGAAAATTGCAGGGAAATGGAATGCAGGGGGTAGGGAAAGATCGAAGCTTTATGGCTTGGATAAACCCTACGGAAGCGTCAGAGAACAGAGGAGCTTCGGTTCAACTACACACTCTCGCTGTCAAAACCCTAAAAACCCTCGGCAGGCCATGCTACGCCGACCTCTCGGGGCTCAGCAGGCGGGGGTGGCCATCCCGTAATTTCGGCAAAAGACCGGGGGCAAATCTATAAAAAGATGAAAAGACTATTTTCTGAATTACCTAATCACGTATCTAATCACTTACATGTACATAGAAGAGAAGAGAGAAATAATAAAAAAAAATCGCATGTCGGCTTAGGGGAGCGATTGCTCGGCATACGGATAATGATATGGACTGTGTTTATAAGAGAACGGCCACCAATACGATGTCATTTCGCGTTGCATCGAGGGTTACCATTGTCATTTCGCGTTGCATCGAGGGTTACCATTGTCATTTCGCGTTGCATCGAGGGTTGCCAAATGGTGTCGCCTTTGGAGGGGCAAAATCGGAACGAAAAGGATTAATTTTGGAGGAGAAAAATTAGGGCTCCGTTAGTTTTCGTGAATCGATCACACCGACGACCTACTCTAAGATTCGACTCAGCGCTCGGTGGTAAGGACCCAGCTCTAAATTTTTATGCTTTTTCGAGCTCCGGTGGTTGGTCGATTTTAGGGTTTATACATTTTCTTTTTTCAAGTTGGTTAGTGATTTTTGTAGTCATGTGGACAGTGGGAAAGTATTAAATTTGGTGGTTGGTGTACTGTAGATGGAAGGCCCCATTCACCACCATACTTCGCTTGGTGGATTTATGGAGTTGAAGATAATGGGAGATATATTGGTTACTTTGGAGAGTTGTTTTTTTTAATTTCTTGTTTAAAAAAATATAGGTTGATGTTCTTACCAAATGAAAACCATATTAACTTTAAATGGTTAGAATTTCTTATGAGCTTGAATAATTTTAAATATTTTTGAAGGAGAGACACGACTTAAACTTAAACTTGTGATGTAAAGATTCGTACTAATTTATGAACGAATTATCACCTGGCATAGGTAAGTATCCTCTCCCTTAGAATTTTCGAATGAAAAACTATTGGAAAAATCTTTCAAAGAAAAATCTTTTAATTCTTTTCCGAGTTCAAATTCAAAATGAACATAAAAGGAATTCGAAAACACTTTCTTCGGAAGTTTTGAATGACATTCCTTAGTCGAAAATTGCTTTTCATGTGTTGGTACATGCATCATTAACCAAAAATCTCCATGAAAGATAGTTTGAACATGCAACTTTGACAAAATAAAAGAGAGTATTTGAGAGTGAAAGCACATAGGATGAGAAAAGTCAAGGTATGCCTTAACACGACCCTAATACATATTTTGAGAGTTGAGTTGAGTGAATAAAAATAAGGAAAATCATGTCGTAGAATAGAGGTTTTATTCGCAAGGAATGCATAGATCTAAATGACAAAAGGCATTTCTTTCTTCTAGCATAAATATTAAATATAACCCTTGCTAGCCATTTTGAGCCTAAATAAGGAGAATTTTTTTTGGAAATACCCCTATCAATAATCACTTCACATTGGGGCAAATAGGAGGTTAAGGTTGAAAACATTTGGAGAAAAAGTTTTAAGAAAGATTTTTTTGCCTCCACTTATCAACCATTTTTGTGGTGATTTTAGGTGAGTTCTCATAAAACCTCGAGACATCCAATAGCGAAAAAGAGCATTCATTTCTCTACCCAAACACTAATTGCCCTTTGATTAGCTAAATTGAGCCTTAATATTCATTTCTAAACGCAATTGATGATTATCTCCCTACCTAAGGCATGGCATGTGATTTACCAAGAGGATTGGTAATAGTAGAAAAAAATCTCGAAAGCCTTTAAAATCAAAAAAGTCGTAAGAATCAAAAAGTCAAAGGAATCCAAAAGTCAAAAGAAAATGATAACTAGGGATATAAAAAAGCAATGTGCCTGGTAAAAATAAAGCTGATGCCCATAAAAAAGAAGCTGCATCAAGAGCAAAACGCTTGTATGAAAAGAAATTTATTTGAATGCAAAGTATCTAGAAAAGAGCGAAGCTCTTATGTTTCAAATGTAAATGATTGATTGATGGACTCTCAAAACAAATTCAACATCAAAAGTTAAAAGATTTTGAAAAAATTGAATGAGCCGGTAATGATATCCATATAATCACCAACTATTGAACCGTATAAAAAAAATTTAGCCTTTCATTTCTTAATCCAATTCCAAACCTACATTATAACTCTAAAAAATTATCTTTCGATTGGGATGGTTCAAATAGACATGAGGATTTCACAAAGAAAGTTACCGCTTGAAGGAGTGGAAGCAGTAATTTCTCATCTTATCTTCGATATTCTTGACTTTGTTTTTAGTTTCACTCTCTGCTTAATTTATTTTATTGTTACTTTGTATCAAATTGAAATTACTATTTAAAGATAATATTGCAAAAAAAAAATCCACATAATATATAAATTAGCATTGCAATGTGAGGCATTGGTATTTGGATGATATGGTCTTCTAGCATTGTGGATTGTTCTTATTTATATATAAACTATAGGTAGCTATAAACAGAGTATAAACGAAAAAATCCATCAAGATATAAAAATTGCGTGGAGAAACGTGAAATCAATAAGAAAAAAAAATGATGAAAAGCCATGAGTCAAATATATGTCCAAACTCAATTAGAGTTGTGCATACTGTTTGTCTGTCTATCTTTCTATCCAGGATTAAGTGTGTAGTTTTAGTCCTGTAGATTTCATTATTTGTGCAATTGCGCAATTGAATCCTCTAACATTTGCAATTTATATAATTAGGTCCTATCCTTAATTGCCATTAGCGATATCTTAACAGTGACCCCCATGGACCTGTGGCTCCGCCCATGCGGAACAAAATAGATATGTAACATTGATGTGGCACCAAATAAGCTCTACATCAATAAACACAATATATATAATAGAGAGAAGTAGGGATTAACGAGTGTATCATGACTCTTACCGTGGATGGCTAGGTTTCCGATGGGCCTAGCCTTGCTCAAGTAAAGACAGTCGAACCCCGTGCAGAAAGAGAGCGAGAGAGACAGAGAGAGAGAGAGACACCCAACCGTGGTTGAGTACGGATGGAGGTCTAGTGAACCCCGTTTTTTAGGGCAATGGATGTCTCGTAACCTTAACAAGTGATACCGAACACTTGCCAATACCTAGGCACCAATGCTAGGCACCAATGCTTGGGCTACCTTGTTGCGCATCACCCCCAAAATCCCCTCCCCCTTCTACAAATCTTTTTTTTGTTCATTTCACCTTTTTAGAGAAAATGTCCTCAAATTGTGGTCCTGCTTGATGCACATTTGTTAAGTAAACGGGATTTATCTGTGAAAAAAAAAACAAGAGACACGGGTGTTTTTTAGAATTGGCAATGAATGCGGGGGCTGAAAAAAAATGAAAAACAAAAATGTGAGCACAAATGAGACCCAGACCCAGAAGAGAAACAGAGAGACGGACTCTTCAAACACAGAAGAAAGAAGACGCAAATACACATTCGACGAGAACGAAGGCTTGGTGCGAGCTTCTTCTTCTTCGTCTCCCTCTCCCCTCCGCTGCACCTGGAGATGATGAACGTGGGTCCGTCTGGTTTCAGTACGCATCTCTCTCTCCCTCTCGCTCCCCCTCTCTCTCTCTCTGTTTCTGGGTTTCGTCAATTTCCGTTCCTTTTGACCGGTCGCGCCTTCGGAATCCTCCCGCATCGATTCTTCCTTTTGCCCCTGCCCGAATTTCCCCCCACCAATCGAGCCTCCGGCGTTCGTTTCCTTTGTTCTTGCAGACAATGCGCCGGTGTCCCGAGCGTTCGTCGTCGCCTCCGGCGTCTTCACCGTCTTCTTCGGGATCAGGGACCGCGCTAACAAGCTCGGAGTGTCTTACCAGGCAAGTCAGTTGGGCTTTTTGCTGTTTCTTTTGGGTTGGTTTTTTTGGTGGATTCGGCACTTGGGTTTTGGCGGATTGTTGTCTTTTGTGCCCGTACTGGCTTGTGGGTTCTCCTCGTGCTATCGATTCTTGATCTGGGTCTTGGCAATGATGAAGGGTGCTTGATGGTCACGTTAGCCTGGACGATCTTTTCGCTTTCCTTTCCCTTTCTATGTCAGAAAGATGAATCTGTAGGGTTTCTTTTTTCTTCCTGCTCATGGCCCTAATTACGGTGCGAAAACTGTCATTTCTGGCTGTGTGGTTGATTTGATTTTTCCAGCTGCCCTGGTGGTGTAGTCGAAGCTGTTTCGCATCTCTTTCTAATGTCGTTGCTCGAAGTAGTTGTGTTCGCATACAATCAACAATATGGAATTTGGAGTCTTTGTTTATATACTCCACAGAATTACTGAATTGCTATATGATATGTTTTCCAATCTAAACAATGACTAAGTCTAAACCATTATAGTTTAGTCATGGTAGGTCATCTATTTGTAAGACCAGTGTAGGCTGAGGTTTTATGTAATGCTTTGGGTTGCCAAAATGAATTCAAAGTTTGTCGCTTGCAAGGACATTCATATCGAAATTCGAAAGTGAAATAGGATTCTGGTTATTGCGTAGGTTTGCCTATGTCAATAAGAGGGCTAGATTCAAGAGCTCTCTTTGAATGATGATATATGGATGTTAATATCCGAATTCAAAATAGCGCAGGGGCACTCGCTGTTTGTTCATGAGGGATGAGCATAAATAATAGACTTGGATATATCCAAGTCCATTAATTCAGCAATTTGTTGAACTCAATTGCTTATGTGCCATCGAATTAGTGAATCGATTTCTTAATGATGACTTGAGGAGGAAATAACTGGCAGTAATGAAGTCTGCCTTCTTTGCTAGCTGCAATACTATTTTGAGACCCTCAAGCAGTCTTCCTCTCTCCTCTATATTAGAGAAATAGTTTCTCCATTGACATTCTTTTAGCTTCTTCTGAGGTTTTACTATCACTTTTGTAATATAACTTCTTGACTTTGATTGAGTTCCTGTTCTGCGAAGGAAACAAGTAAACGACCCTCTTGCTTTGTTATCGACTCACCCTTAGCAATTTATGGGAGCATAATGCTTGCCATGTCAATAGCTTTTCCTTTGAGAATTCCACGATCTCTTAAATTCTACAAAGAGGATAGTATCTTACTTCCTTATTTTTCGATCTTCAATGGCAGGACATTTTCCAAAAGATGCAGATGTGGAAGCTAATACCAGCAATCTTTGCCTTTTCTTCAACACCAGAACTGATTTTTGGCCTTTATCTGCTCTACTACTTCAGAATTTTTGAGAGACAGATAGGTTCTAATAAGTTCTTGGTGAGTAATTTTCTCCGTAACAATGTAGAATAAAACGAGTACGAAACACTTCTGTAGCGTTTCGCTAAAGTTTTGTTTCTGTTTTGTGCTGAGAGACGGATAGGTTCTAATAAGTCCTTGGTGAGTGATTTTTCTTCGTTAGCTATGTAGAATCAAAAAATTGCACAACATTTCTGTGGAGTAACACTAAACTTATGTTTCAGTTTTGTGCTCCACTCTAGGTATGAATTTTTATATGCAATGTCATAGCGGTAAGGATGATGCTTAAGCTATTTGTCCTACATGAAAGAATGTTTGGGGAGCTACTACTTTTGTCACAGTTTTTCTTGTGTGTGTCTTTACTCATTTGATTCCAGTTTGCGAGAGCACCCTGACTATTTGTCTAAAAGTCAACGTACATCTGCCAATGGCCTCATCTCACAAGTTGACACTATTATGAGAATGGAACTTGGCATTTGTAACATGCTATCCTATTGGGTGGATTAGTTTCCAATAAATCTAAGAGGTTGATGGAGAATGCATAAACTGCTAGTAAGATGTGAGACATGCAGAAAGGCCAACAAGGGGAAGACTGCCAGCTTCGTGTCCACTCTTTGTTCGGCAAAATTAACTGTTCTTAATTGTGCTTTAGCATCTATGCTATCATGTTCAATGCTATTTTACTTAGAGCAGAATTGATGTTATGGGTTGCTTGGCATGGCAGTCAACTGGTTCTTTCATTCCAAAACATTTTCGTTTCCTTTCGTTTGATGTATACCTAATTCTTTTCTGTGGATTCCTAGGTCTTTATTTTGTTCTCTACAATAGTATCAATGGTCCTTCAAGTCCTAGCATTGGCAGTTGTTAATGGTATGTCAATTCGTTTTACCTTTGTGGAAGCTTCTTCTTGCTGTCTCTTTTCACTTCATTCATCCTTTTACTGGTGGAAATCTGTTTCTATATTTTGAAATTCTTCATTTGTGGTTACTTACATACTACTACTTGATCTGGTACAACTTGGTCCGAAAATCCAAAAGATGACTCTGAAAATTGAAACATAACAGTGGGTGAATACTGATGTCCTTTTTGGTGGATATGAGTCTCTATCGGAAAAGCAGAGGTCCTATCACCTTGCAATACCTACTTTAACGTTTTTACTTCATATGCAGTCTATATTGGAATGACAGTTGTCCTAATTGACCTTCTTGTACAATTCTCGCAATTACCCGTTTTGTTTGGTGGTCATACAACAAATGCCTGAATGGGCTATTAAGCTCTTAAACACTTGCCTTGCTTGTCACAGGAATTTGGTAAGTTAGATGCGGTTGATATACAATCTTTATATGGTCTGATGCCGTGATTTGAATTGTTGTGATAATTTACCCAAATTATGCAGTAGTTTCACTGGTTAGAAGACTGCTATTGTGAGAGAAATTGGTATTTCTAAGTTTCTGGATGTAGACTGTCGATATAAATCATTCCATCAATACTCCAGATTTGAGATGCCATCATCAAAGAGTTACTTTCAGAAAGTTAATCCAAAAGTCTTTATGTCTTTGCTATGACAATACTTTATGCCAAACATATTATTCAAGTCAAAGATAAAGAAAATGAAAGAAACAAGTGACGTTCTTCAAACCAATCATAAGCTTTATTGAGATAATTAAACATATGGTACTCCCCCTTGTCAAATGCTTAAAAGTTCCTATGTTCAGCAGAAAAATTTGCCATAAATTTCAGCGAAGACCTACCTTTCCTCCTGCATGTTGCATTGGCTGAAGAGTACTTTCACGTTTTTCCTGTGTACATATGGAGCAAAGCTGACTGATCCTTTATAATGACCAAACTTTCTCCATAATTGTCGGATATCAGAGGAGAAAGTCGACAAATGTTAGGGTACCCGCTAATGTAATGGTTTTAGCGGTTGCTTATGGATTGTATACATTGTGCAAGAAACCCTAACGTTATAGTATAGTAGCATGATTGGCTTAAACTTATAATTTATCTTATGGGCCAGTAGGTAGAGCAGGAAGGTAGGAAAAGAACCCAAGCCCTCTTGAAATCTTGTTAAGGGTGGACCATAGCTAGACACATTACTAGTTCCTTAAGCATTGTAGAGGGAGATAAAGATCTAAATTTAGACTGCTGTGTAGATAAGATTGCCATGCTAGTTTCTTTATCACGCTCCTAGAAATTGTCATGGCTACCTTGTGATAATGTTGGTTAACTTTTTAACCTCTTGCTCGACAATGGACTGTTGAAATTTCTATGCACATTCCTTCATGTCATGATTCTTGAATAATCGTCAAGTCTCCCCGTGACAATGCTGATGTAATGTTTTTTCTTTTCATCTGCAGTTCCTTCCTCAAACTTAGTCAGTTCAGGTCCTTATGCTGTTATATTTTCATTGTTCGTACCCTTTTTCTTTGACATTCCGGTTTCAACACGATTTCGGGTGCTAGGCATCAGCTTCTCTGATAAATCTTTCATATATCTAGCTGGTCTGCAGGTAAGCTTTATTGATATATCTGTTTGGTGATTTATCACCTGTACTAACTTTTTGTGCCTATCAGACACATCCTTTTTGTATTTTCATTTAACCTAGTTTACATATTGCAGCTTTTGTTGTCATCCTGGAAAAGGTCCATCTTGCCAGGGATTTGCGGCATTCTTGCTGGTGCCCTGTATCGTCTCAATGTTTTCCGCATCCGAAAGGCGAAGGTTATACTCGAGAACATTTATAATGGACCGTTTCCTTCTTACTGTGCAATTAACTGTCATTTGCTGTGGTGTTAGAATTATCCTTTTTGATCGGTACCATTTGTAAATGTGATCTTGTTAGAACCAAATTTGCGCGAGAATGCCATCTACCTTGATTATTTATAAATATAATTAGCTGAAAAAGAATTCTTCTGTGTGTGTGTTTTTTTTTGGTGGGAGGGGGAGCGCGTGAGAGAGAAGAGGGAGAGAGAGAGATTGATTGATACTTTGACAAGCATATGTAATCTTTGTCTAAGTCCATCACGACTTGTGATGATTACAATGTGTGATGGCCTCAGTATCTCAATGTTATTGATGGCAGAATGCTCTTTTTTTGGTGTTCAAAGGATTTCCATCATTCTTGAAATTACTGCAGATCAAATCAGAATCATCATTTTTTTTTTCTTGGAAGTCTAGCGAATCGTCCTTGTTTTTCCTGAGAAATATGCTACATTTATTTCATGTCATACGAGATGTTACCTCATGGATGCATATCTTGAAGGACATCTTGTTAATGCATGTCATGAGTTACTTTCATGCAATACTTCACTAAGATTGCAAAGCAGTTGTATCCGCCAATATTATGTAAGTTTCCTACAAGAGAGTTGGTAGGAAGATTTGTTCTATTTTAAGGGTAGTGTCACATTTGAAAGCTAGAGATCTGCATCATCACTTTGATGAAGATAAATCTTTTTTGTTAAGGTACCTAAATTTTGTTTTTTAAATGCCTTGTGTGAGCAGTTTCCAGCACCTATCTCTTCATTCTTTTCACGGCTACCAGGACTGTCTATGGGAAGTCCACGTGTCTCACCAACTAGGAATGTCGTGGGAAATATTCCATCCTTCGCAAGTCACCAGGTAACAGTGCATCATATGAATGTTTTAATAAATACTTCCAATGTTCTTAGTACATGTGAAATCTCTTTCTACAGTCTTCATCTGCGTCATTATTGCCTCTGCCTCTACTTAAATACTCTTTCCCTGCAGCGAAACTATACTTCAGTACCTTCCACCGTAGAGCTATCAGAGGAATCTGTTGCAACCCTTGTTTCAATGGGCTTTGACAGGAATTCCGCTAGACAAGCACTAGCACAGGCTAGAAATGACGTCAATACAGCAACAAACATCCTTCTTGAAGCTCAGTCTCGCTAATTGTTTAGAGAAGTTATAGTGATGCTACTTGAACTCTGTTAATTAAGTTCAGGGGGAGGAGTTGATTGGTGACGAGATCTGTGACCTCCATGATAGGCATTTGACGAGTCGGTCAATCTTCTAACAGGAGCTTCTGAATGTTCTCGCCCATGTCGGTCTTGGGACTTTCCCTTCAGCGTAGATCCTTCGGTCCTATAAGCGGTAGGCATTTATTTGCAGCTGAAAGCAATTCACACACAGTATGACTGTTGGGATGAAGCCTAGATGGATTTCACCCAGAATCATGACATGGTTAATTATTATATTTAGAAGAAAGCTCTATGGAGAAAACTGTGTACAGTATTTATCTAATTAATTCTTGTCTTCAACCAGTAAACAAGACATTCCTCGGGTTGTTGTTTTCTAGACGGCACATAGTGGTCAGTAGTAAATGTGCCTTGTTAATAGGATATTCAAGTGTTAAGGACGATTATGCTGTTGACTGATAGTGGTTGAAATTGGAAAAGGGTGTTTCGTGGCCCGTTGGAATTGGTAGGCTTTCTATGTTTCAGTGCTTGAAAATCTTCATGCGGTGGTAACTTTGATTATAAAGTTTGTAATGCTCCTTGTTCTCATTATTTTTCCTAATCTTATGATTGGTTAAGTTTCTCTAGGCGGCGGTAAGTTTTCTAAATTGGCCGTGAGGGCCATCAAAACATGAAAAGGTTAGTGACCATACTACTCTTTACAACATTCTCCCTGTTCCATAGGCAAAAATGGTAATGACTGGCAGGTTCACATCTTTTAAGTTATGCAAGCAATGCCGAAATAGAGCCTGGCTAATGAAAGCATTGACTGAAAGATGTAGACCCAGTTAGCTTCCTCGCAAATTTTACGGCTATGTACCCTTCTACCATGACCCGTTTTGCGCGCTTTTGACCTCTCGACATCAACAATATATTTGATTAGGATAAATCTGCTTTTAATAGGAAAAAGAAAAAGAAAAACTCTACTAGTTTATCTTGTACATCCTCCATCACTGCATAATTTTCTGTCTCAATGGGAAAACCTAACTTCTCTACAGAAATGTCCTGAAAAACATGCACCAAGCTTATGAACATGTTTAGTTTTTGGGATAAGTGCATTGAAAGTCCTAAATTTTGTCATCAAAGTGCAATTGAGTCCTAAAACTTTCAAAAAGTGCAATTAAGTCTTAAAACTTGTTACAAAGTGCAATTGAGTCCTAAAACTTTCAAGAAGTGCAATCAAGTTCTAAAATTTATCTAATTAGTCCAATTAAGTTATTTTTGTTATTGCGCTTTTAAAAAGTTTTAGGACTCAATTATATTTTTGTAACAAATTTTATGACTTGATTGCACTTTCATGACAAGTTTTAGGATTCAATTACACTTTGATGATAAATTTTAGGAGTCAATTGCTCTTTCGTGACAATTTTTAAGACTTCTAATGCTCTTATCCCTTAGATTTTTAATGCAGGGAACTTCAAACAACGTGCCTTTCTACTTGTGCTATGTGCACTCTAGCTGAAAATGCTTCCTCCCTAATCCAATGTGAGAAATTCATCAAGAATCTATCAGAATGCAACTAATGGGAAAAGGGGGAACACTTAAGTCGTATTACATGATGGACTCGAGCATATCGCAAGTGACACTTCTTACGTTGTGTGTCCACTGATTTGCTAAAACACATCCGCAAAGATAGCAAGTGGATTTAAGAAGAAAAAGAAATCAAGACTCGAAGCTAAGAACCATCAAATATGCCACTGTATCATTAGGTTTTCCCTCTATTCCAAGAGGGACAGCCGAAGCCATGAACATGAAGTCTTTAACTCCAAGTAGAATCCACCATCTTAAAATGAAAAGTCTCAATGAGTCAGCTTAGATCAGGAAAAAGCCCAGTCTTATGCAAGTGGCACGGTGTTTCTCATGTATGTAAACAGCCCTAAGGAATGAATTTCTCCAGCAAAGCACGTGACAAACAAAACTGGGCACTTGGGAGGGGTTTCTATGAACAGTGCAGCCTCTTTTCCCCATCAAACTGCGCTCCACTCATGGCACTAAGAAGAAACCACACTTCACAATAATAAAAAAATACGTCCCCCTCCTCGAATTCTTGCTTGTAAGTGTCCCCATTTTCAGCGAGTGCATCCTATTATCATGTACAAGAATAACTAGAAGACACTGAGCATACGTATCGCTCAAATTCTGATTTTGAACGAACTCCCAGGCAACAGTCAAACTCCCATTTCAAATTGTCAGCTCTCCTCTTCATCAATGGTATAAACAGGTATTTGCCATATCTTAGTGTTCTTCTTCGGGTCATCGGTGAGGCTTAGATCTGTATCATCCTCTTTAAATGTTCTGATAAAAGTTTTTGCTCCCATCATGACAAGCCTCTCAATCATAAATAACTGGTAATTGTTCTGAATAAAGGGATCAAGGATCTCGCTAAAATTTGAAGAGTATGAAATCTTGTACCTGTAAAAATTGGTCAAGATAAGTATTTATCAGCTTCAACTTCTACCAGGGTACACACTTATGCAATATACACGTATGACACACAATTGAACATAAACACGCCTACAATCCAAAAGAGAGAATAAGAGGCACTTTAATTTCAGTGGTTAATCTACAATCCCACTGCATAAAAGGTCCTTTCATTACCTAAGATGTTTTATACTCGATCAGCAACTATAAAGTTAAGTAGCTATCTGGTCAAAGGCGATTTCATTTCCAGGACAGATGTTTTATACTCAATCAGTAAGTATAAGAACGCGTAGTCTCAAATTCAATTGTCGGCCAGCATTAAGGAAACAGGTAACAAATGCCTTTTCTGTGCTGATTGTTCTAGTGTTACAGGATACAATGAAACCTTTCATGTCAATTTTGTCATGATATCACAAAGAAAGCATCCATCATCTTCATCACCAGTCTGCTATTACAACCAGTTACAAAGATGACATTGTCCTCATCTAAATACAGTTTTTTCATTCACAAATCATGTTCCTGGGAACTCTGCTCTACAGCTCCATCAACAACCATCTGAAATGGAACCCATTTGCCACCATCAATCATATCTTTACTATATAGAACAATAAGCACAATTGTCTAGCCCAATTGTGTAGCCCATTACCATAATTTTTGGTCTTCATAACCAACAAAAACACACTGGCAACATCCACCTATCTCACTGAATGCCTTACAAACACTCTAAAGCAGTATCCTGTGCATGGTAGTTGCAATTTCTTATCTATCATGTCAAGATAGAAGTGCAATTTACACTTGGCATCACAAAATGCGTAGTCCATAGTGAGCCATAAAACTTATAATTCTCCTGCCACTGCATCTACGTTCAAACCACGATGGATCAAGATTCAAGCATATTCATTGCATCAGCTATTAGTTTTTACATTTCTAGGTGCAAAACAAATGAAAATACCTAAAAGGTTAGTTCCCACAATTCAAAGATGCATCTAGTTCTTGCTTATCAATTAAAGCATGCCGAGTCTGTACCTTCCTATGCCCTCTAATTTGTGCAGGTAGTTAATGAGTTCGAGGATAACTCGCCTTGTAGCGAGAGGCGAAAAAAATCCAGGCGTCCTCTCATTTGAAGCAATAAAAAGAGTCCTTCCAGGTGGCACCCACTGTTTAATTCGGCGAAGAATAAACTCTGGACGGGTATCTCTGTCCAGATGAGGGTTTAGACTCCTTTCGACCCCAAACCTGTCTTTCCTGGTTTTCAATTTGTCACCTCGACGAACGTGGATGGCATCATAATCACCAAGAGAGGCTTTAATCTGTGAATTGGAGATTACTCAGATGCCAACTCGCAAATACAAAAAGAGGTAATAGGGCAATCTTTTAGCACAGTACCTGCAGTATCACGAAATTCATATTTTCACAAGGTCATTAGCTCTATCTATAACTATAAGAATAGTAAGGGACTCCACACCAGGGTAATCCATTATCTAGAAAGATGTACAGACGAAATTGGTTGAACTGGAAAACACTCAATATTCATTTCTCAACAAAAACAAGAAGCCTTATCCTACTACCAGATTGTGTGGATGTTCTGGAGTTCAAAATATTAACTCTTTATCAATCTTCTTCAAGTCTTAACTACCTGATTCACAGACCTGCTTTTCTTAAACATTACTTTCGGAAATGGCTTTATTTCAGCGGGACTGCTTTAGTAAATACCACACTATTTTTCCAAGGACTTCAATCATCTCAGTTCCATAGTGTCCTCCGAGTTACTAGTAGGTTCTTGCCAGTCCATATAGGGTTTGTTTCATATTTTAAGCAGATTACTAGTAAGTTATTGTGATATCAACTACCAGTACCTTATAGGCAAATCCAATAAGATACTTGTTTGTTTAAAGAATATATAAGTCTAGACATCCATCCCTTCATGATACTTGACAGAGACTATTCATTGCTATAAATGGTTTATCATGATGTCCTATGATATTAGGTTTGCAATGATGGTTTAATACTCGTGCTAACACATCATAGGTTATTGTCCTCATCTTTTAGAACCTACATTAAACCACTTTTACTGGAAGTGAAAGATAATAGAAGATAACTGTTACCCCAGAAAGAACACTCTTTGCGATGTATGAATGTACAGAATTTCTAGGTCTCCAGGTAAATTACCAACCTTGGCAGCTACATCTCTTAATTCCTTTGTGGCCATGGAAGGGAGAAATGAATAAGGTAACATTATGGCACTTCGATTTTTTCGATCCTTGCATTCCATGAACCTGTATTAATTTCATGGTCAGTTCCTGAGCGAAAAATAACAAGTTGGAAACTTTAATTCTTCAAAGCACATCTTACAGATATAATGCTTTTAGAGCTTACGAACATCAAATGTCTATGCCCCTAAAAAACAAAATAGTATCAAACGCCTTTTGGAAATATGAAAAAGAGCTCTCGCATACTTAAATCCTCTATCCTGACAAACATGTGATACAATCTCAGGTTCTTCCGTGAAGGATCTAAACTACTAAGAAAAAGAGCTTGAAGGATTAAGAAGACTTAGTAACATTTCAACCAAACAGATAGGAGTAACTTGTTTAAGGGAAAAATACTGCTGAAGACACATGCATGCCTTCAAAACCTTAAGCTATAGTGAACAGCTTATGCACAAGAATGAACCAAAAGAACCCTCATGCTTTGCAGAGAATAAATGTTCAAAAAATGGACCTAGAAAGGGCTTACCAAGAAAGCGGACTAGCAGTTCTGTTGATGAGTAAAAGGTTTGAATAGCGTTGATCCTCTTTAAGATCATTCCGACTAAGTCCTTCCACATGAGCAACCCCTCGAGCTCCCAACTTCATGCTGGTTGACAGCACCCGATACCACATTTTTGAATTGTCCAAAATCACAGGCACGGTGTCGGATATCAGATCTATATCGTACAAAGAATCCATGGCACAAGAAGATGCTGCCCACCTACCAAAAACAAGTAGATTCGGGTAATTAATTGCTCCAACTTTTCTTGTCATTTTTCCAATCCAAAAGGGGATGTGTAAGCAGATGAGGAAAAGAAAAACCAATGCAAGAAAACTCTTTGAGATTAAGTGAAGTAACCGTATAGAAACAGCAACTTTCCAGAAGGAGAAACCATCTGCTAAATGATAATCAACCCACTCTCTCTTTTGGTTCGACCATTGAGTTATGCATGGAGGAACTCACCCTTCCTCGGAAGTCATACTTGTGGACTCATGAAGGATTCCCTTCTTGTTGTGCATAGGGTTGATACACATCCTGGAAGGCATAACAAAAGTCCTGCAATTCAAGGTAAAGGGAATTTTATTAAAGGAGTGAAATTGAGCTAACTCCCGGACACATAACTCAAGCGAATGTGAGCATCACGTTCAGACCAGAAACCAAAGTAGACAGGTTCATCTTTCTAAAATGAAGCCACACTCAGATCCACGCACTGAAACATAGAACATTCGCAATCACAGTTTCCGCAAACAACTAAATTTGGGCAAGCTCAAACCCACTTCAATTGAAGCACTCAAGACTTGTCTAGCGCAGAACCATCGCTTCGAAACACTTTAAACAACTACAATGTCATCACTCCTCCCAAGTTAAAACAGAGCACACGAATCAGAACCCGCAGACACCAAACGAGAACCGACCCAAAAAACCTGCCAATTCCCCCGAAACACAGCGCAAGGCACCCCAAAACCTCGTACCTCTTGAGGAACATCGCCTCCTCCAGGGCACATCGGAGGCTGGACTCCTGGTGGCCGAGGCCCGCGCAGGAGTCGCAGTGCTTCCCGGGGCAGTCGATCCTGCCGCCCCAGTAGAGGTACTTGTCATGGAGCGAGTGCTGGTGCTTCGGCCTCTTCAGGAGTCCCACGATCTCGAGGGTCCTGGAGGAGGACGGCAGCGAGACCCCGAACGTGGAGGCGAGGGCGGAGAGGAGGAAGAGGAGGGCGATGGCGACGACGGACGCGACGAGGAAGGAGAGCGGGGACCCGGGTTTGGATTTGGGCTTGTGGGTCTTGCTGACGGCCATGGGAGTTGCAGGGTGGGAGGGTTTGAAGATCCAAGATCAAGATCAAGAAGAGATCAAGAAGAGCTCCTTCATGCTTCCGACATGGGTGGGGGACATGAAAGTAAATCTCAAGAAGAAAGGGCATGAAAACGAGAAAGGGAAAGAAGGAATTAAAGAAAGGCATATGAATAAATTTAACAAAAATGCTATAAATCACATAGTTTGAGTCCGTAAAACTTTTCAAATTGTGCAATCGAATCCTGATTAATTTACTTTTTCTTGTTGTCGCAAGATTTGCACGGAAAATTCTTACATGGCATTAATTAGCTATCTCTCCCACGTGGTAGATGTCCCGACCACTTCCAAACATCGAAGTGCCGTCGAGCGGACGGAGAACGCGCCGCCCGACCCTGCCCTCCGCCGCCGCCGCCGCCTTGTACACGACCGGCCCTGATCGAATTGAGATCGAAATCCGAGCAAGAGGAGTTGGAGGGATGGTTGCAACGGATCTCTGTTCGATCCGGGTTGTGGGTGTTGTGTTGTTCAAGATGAGGTGAATTGTAGTTTTGGCGATGGATGAGGCGTCGCCGGCGAGGGTATTTGAGTTCGACGTGGTGGCGAACTTGCCAAAGATGGCGGCGGACAATGGGCTGCATATGCTAAAGGAAGATGATGAGCTCCGTTAATTTTTCATTGTTTCCTTCGCACGCACCTTCAACCGCTTCTCCTTCCGATGTATTAGAATTTAATTGCACCATTTGAAGATTTTACGACTTAATTATACTCCGGACATAAATTTAAGGCTTTAAATTTAGATGAGTCTAGTTTGATTCTTTCCTTGGAATATCTTTTCCTAAATTGAGAAGTGTTGAAAATTTCTTGACATCGAAATCGGATCATATCGAACCATAGATACCCTTTGAAGCGTCGGTAACACGACCGGGTTTAAAGATGATCGCGAATCAAGTGGCCTACTGAGCCCGACGGGCTCGATCTTGCCTATCATTTAGGGGTGTGTTATGTGACACCTCAGAACGTCACGCGCAACACGTACCAATTAATATTATTAAAAAAATGGCCAGCAGAAGTCAAAGTCCGAACAAGTTTTGTCAAAAATACTATTGCTTCTCATTAACAACACTTGTGAGAATTACAAGTCCAGACAATACATCATAAAATCACAAAGAACAAACATTTGGGTAGGTTGAGGTTGCCTATCTCCATGCTACAATTTACTCCCAAAGACGACCCGCACAAAAGTAGACTTTACAACGAGTCGTAGATGTCGTCACCTTCATATCAACCAAAATCCCGCATCTACCCATATAGTAGATATACATCTAGTACAAACTATATCCGCCCTCGAGACAAGCATATCAACATCCTGGCATTCATAGTATTTAGGGAAAAACCAGCAAGCATTGGTAGCAGATTGTCCATTCCTATATGTCTGAAAAATAACGGGATGAGCCGAAGCTCAGTAAATGAAATCTCTAGTTTTAAGTTAGGAAAATCAGCTTACCACTTCACCTGGCATAAACACATATGCATGCATAGCAAACGATATGCATAGAACTTGAATGCAAGTTATACCTTTTTCCGTCTAGATGTGCCGCAAAATCTGAATAATGCAACATATCATAATATTCTCACTCAGACGCAAGCATGATGTAAAACATTTATGCTCGTGCGATTAGGTTCATTACTTCATCCTCCCGAACACTCCTGGGGCATCCCGACCAACTTGGCATCCCAACTCCGAGGCATCCCGGCACACACCCAGGGCATCCCGACCTACGGGGCATCTTGACTCCCAAGGTATCCCGAAACACTCCCTGGGGCATCCCGACCTACGGGGCATCCCGACACACGGGGCATCGTCACACATCACTAAATAGGCGACGGAATTAATATTATTCTCATGCAAGTCATGACAACCAAGTATTTGCATGCATAAATCCGTTTTGGCCCGTCCTATACCGAGCCATCACGGTTTTTGTACTTTAAAGCCATGAAATGCATCATCCGAGCAATTAAATATGAAGCAATACATTTCAAACTCAGAAGCAAACTTAGCTCATAAGTAAATTCAGGTTCAGAAGCAAATTCGGTCATCAGAGGTAAGTTCGGATCATCAGAAGCAAAATCGGATTGGTCATCAGAAGAAAATTCGAGTCATCAGAAGCAAGTTCGGACTCGGGAAGGAAGTTTAGAAGCGAAGCGGGTTCGGAATCGAAGCGGGTCGGACTCGAAGCGGGTTCAAACTCGAAGTGAATTGATTCGAAGCGGGTTCGGACTCGAAGCGGGTCGGACTCAAAAGCGAGTTTAGACTCAGAAGCGAATTCAGACTCAGAAGCGAATTTAGACTCAGAAGCGGGTTCAGACTCAGAAGTGAGTTCAGACTCAGAAGCAGGTTCAGACTCAAAAGTGAATTCAGACTCAAAAGCGAGTTCAGACTCACAAGCAAGTTTAGATTCACAAGGCTAAAGTCTGAAGGTAAAGTCTGAACGAAAAGTCTGAGCAGTAAAGTCTGGGCAGTAAACTCTGAAGTAAAGTCTGAGCGGTAAAGTACGGAGGTAAAGTCTGAGCGTAAGGTCTGAAGGTAAAGTCTGAACAGTTTAAAAAGTATACAGAACCAGATTTTTGACAGTAAAGTCTGAGCAGTTTCAAAGGTACACAAAACCAGATTTTGACAGTAAAGTCTGAGCAGTTTCAAAGGTACACAAAATCAGATTTTGACAGTAAAGTCTAAACAGTTTCAAAGATACACAAAACCAGATTTTGACAGTAAAATCTAAGCAGTTTCAAAGATACACAAAACCGTATTTTGACAGTAAAGTCTAAGCAGTTTCAAAGATATACAGAATCATCATTCATACTTACATAATATACTCCACTTTCAGTAAAACGATTTTCTACCCTTTTTAAACATACATAAACCAATAAGAAGAATCCAACAATCACCTCAAAGATAACACTTACACGATCAGATTTAATCGTTTCACTTGCCGATTTTCACCATACTTTAAGGAAACAAATCACATCCATTTGAACATGCACAGAACTAGCAAAACAGATTCAATCATCATCACAACATCACTATTGCACATCAAAATAACCTTTCTCAAGCAACCAAGTTAAAAGTGTCAGTAGATTTACTTAGCTTAAACCTAGAGTTTTCATTTACCTTGTGCAGAATCTGAACACCCCAAAGGTTAAAACTCTTCCGCAGATTTTTGGATCGGTGGTGGTGAGAGTAGAAAATGAAGGAGAGAGTGTAGGTTTGTGTGAAATTGTCTTCGTTAATTACCCAGACGAAGATGAAAACTGAAAAGTATACGAATGGGTGGATAATTACAATGCACTCACATATGGCATCTTCTCTTTCCATCATGGCCAAGTGTAAGAAATCAGGAAAGGAGTGGTGGCCAAGGACAATGATTACTTAGGTTAGGTGTCTAGCTCAAGGAGACAAATGGCATTCGGTCAACCTTTCCTTCAATAGTCACGTGAGAGAAAAAGAGTCCAGAAGAGATATTTTTGAGAGAATATCTCCCTCATTTCCTTAACGGCAAATTAGAATAAAAGACTAACACTACTTAACCAAAATTAACCAATAATAATAATACCCACTAAATTCCCAAAACAACGGTAAATTAATTAATACCGTACTACAATTATCGCACACAACAATGTTTAAGATTTTAATTACGACGAGCTCGGGGCGATTACGTTTCCGAATCCGTGCTTCGCGATTTACAATCCAACAACGATTTTTTACACGTCCGCACGAATATTAACTTAAATAATACTTAGCTTTATAATCCAAATATCATCTTCGAACATAGAAAATTCCCAACGTTAATTACTTATTGTTACGAAATTTCCGGATGTCACATGTTATGGCCCGACGGACCGAACCGGGCCGAGCCCATTTAAATTGATTATTGATTCTAAACCATTGAAACATGCCAACTAGGGATGGATACGCATGAGAGACTATGATCGAAATAAGGTGACATAAATGGTCTCTGAACTTTAGGGAAAAGTGTAAAAAAAATCCTAAACTTTTTGCATTTGTGCTAATTTTGTCCTAAACCTTTTTTTTATGTTAATTCAGTCCTAAACCTTTTTGCATTAGTGCCGATTCAGTCCTAAACCTTTTGCATGTGTGCCGATTCAGTCCTAAACCTTTTTTTGGTGCCAATTCAGTTATAAACCTTTTGCATTTGTGCCAATTCAATCCTAAATCTTTTGTATTTGTGCCAATTCAGTCATTCGACACGTGAATAGCTATTAGCCGAAAGGACTGAATTGACACAAATGCAAAAGGTTTAGGACTAAATTGGCACCAAAAAAAGGTTTAGGACAGAATTGGCACCAATATAAAAGGTTTAGGGCTGAATCGGCACCAATGCAAAAGGTTTAGGACTAAATTGGCACCAATGCAAAAGGTTTATAACTTTTTTGACACTTTTCTCCTGAACTTTATGTAATTTATGAACTTTTAACTTGTTCAATGTGGTCCATAAACTTTAGCCAATATGCAATGTGGTCCTTGAACTTTTTATTTATTCAATGCGGTCCCTAAACTTTTGGTATATGTTCAATTTAGTCATTTGACTATATGAAAATGTTCAATTTAGTCATTGGACTTGAATTAATGGAAGGACAACATTGAATGTTTTCACATAGTTGAGAGACTACATTGAACATGTATCAAAAGTCCAGAGATTATATTGAATAAATTAAAAGTTCAGGGATAACACTGTACATTTGACTAAAGTTCATGGACCACATTGAACAAATTAAAAGTTCGGATATCACATTGTATATTAAACAAAAGTTCATAGACTACTTGTGTTATTTTATTTCGAAATAAAGATAGTTTTCGGGTATGTCAAGAACAATGACTCCACTAATCAATGAGAGATTCAGTCATGAAGAAGTGGGAAACAAAAGCAGGTGGGTGAAAAATGATTATTATTCTACTCATTATCAATTATTTTTATGACCCACTAATCTTTAGGAGTGATCAAACTTTCAAAGGGTACTTTTATTGAACTTCATCGTCAAATTTCATGCACTAAAATAAGTCGCAAATTCTTTTAATCAATAGTAAGGTAAATGACTTGATGTGGTAGTAAACTTCTTTTTGAGTTTATTGCATATTATCCATAGCGAAAAACAAATTTGATTTCGATTACGATTCCACTTATTTTTTAATTATTTCTTGTGAATCGAAATATCATTTGTCGTTTCGCTATGTGAGCAAATTTCGTAATGTCAATGTTTTTTGGCCCTAAATTTACAAGAAAATTGTCCAACAACTCCTAAACCTATTATGCAGTAGCCAATTCAATCATAAACCTTCTGATAATTAGCCAATATACTCTTAAGTTTTTCAATTGTGACAATTTAGTCATAAACCTTTTGAGGATTTGTCAATTTAGTCTTAAAACTTTTAACGAGTTGCCCATGTAATCCTTCCGGCTAATTTTGGCCCAAAATCGCTAGCACGAGTAGCACTGAAGCGAACAATTTTTAAAAAAATTTCAGAATTTTTTTATTTTATTTTCTTTTTGTTCCTTTTTTTCTTCACAAGGCCGGCAAGTGAGGTTTGCGGCCCTCACAAGATCTAGGCAAGGGCTCACCAGTTCCCAAGCCCTTGCGAGCCACAGTGAAGGCGTTGTGGCCCTCGTCCACCCTTGCTATGGCCGATGAGGTATATGCGGTCCTCACCCTCAGGTCGACGGAGGTCGCCTACTCTTGGCCAACTGTGAAGAAAAAAAAAAGAAAAGATAAAATATAAAATCAATACAAAATTTGGAAAAATTTTAAAATTTTTTAAAAATTATCAACTTCAATATCAACCACGCCATGTAAGATGGCCGACACTGACTGGATCGTCATGTCAGTAATATCCACCTAGAATTAACCAGAATGATACATTGGCAATTTGTTAAAAGGTTTATGACTAAATTGGTGAATCCTTTAGAGGTTATAGACTAAAATTGACACAATTAACAGGTTTAGAATTAATTGGCAACTTGTCCAAAGGTCTAGGATTAAATTGGCACAGTTGAAAGGTTTAAAACAAAATTAGTAATAGATTTAGGACTTTTTGGATAATTTTATCCTAAATTTACTCAGTCAAGTGAGAAGCATTATCATGCCAAGCATTGGCAATGAAGTGTGCATGGAAAATATACATAAAATAAGAAAAGAACATTTTAAGCATAAGGATTGTTTTTTTCGGAACTAGATCAATTCACTCCTCCTGAGATCCGAGCAAACTTTAAAAATAATAATGAGAATAATATAAATAATAATAATGATAATAAGTTATTCTTTTTGGGGACAAGTGGTCCAATGCACTATTTTTGAGATGATTAAAACAATACCTTAGACAAACCATTATCACTCTTGTACAACCACTTGATTAAAGAGAGGATTAGGCTGGCCAGAATCAATTGTTTCTACATTCAACCATCCAAATGATTCCTCCATCTCATCGGTCAATCTTCGACCCCGTCTACTCCGACATGAACAACAATCCGGGGCGTGATTCACGTTGATGGATTAAGGACGCAGTTGAAGAAACATATGAATCATGCCCGCACCGGTCGTCATAATGAGCAATCACTCGGAACGGGCTGTTGATATTTAAAAGGTGGTGGTTGTAAGTTGTAACCACCCTTTGTTTCTAAACTCCTCGGTCCTTTGGGCGATTGAAGCAGTGCACATGCACATGTGCCGTGTACAGATGATAGGATTTAAGTGACTCGCATCTGCAATCCAGCCAAATCTGGGTGTATTTGATATATTAATACAGGTTGTACCTGCAGCTCTTGCACCAGCAGCACATTGTGGTTGTGCTGGGATTGGCACCGCATCTGCCAAGTCACTGTTGCTGTCAAAACCCAAGCCACCATGTGAATTTAATTCACTATAATTCGGTATCATTCCATGATCTGCACAATCACTGGCAGTGATACCATTTGTGGTTTATTTGTCTATTTCCTTCTTTGGCTCTAAACTTAATCGAGCCCCTTCATTCACTCTCGAGAAATACTACGGTTAAGTTGCACTGGACACAGCAATTTGATCTGGTGTTTACGAAGATCTCGGAGCTTGGCATTTACCTTTTTCAACCTATCAGCATGGGGAGCTTAGTGTGACATAAGAAACCGATATCTGTCCGGCACATGCATCGGTACGCTTATTTATAGATGCTAAGAGAAAGTTTATTCGGAATATATAGTCGAATAATCGATTCATCTAGAGACAAGTGTGACACCCTCGAAACTCATAAGCATTCAGCAGCTTGATGATCCTACATGCATTCAGGGGATCCATCAACCATCATCATCATCTGTACAAGCCCTCTGATCAAAGGCAACAATCATGTGGAAAGGCACAAAAGGCCCCAAAAGAAAAACTATATAACTCAACCGAAGAGATTAGGCCCAAAAGGAAAAACAAAGAGACAAAAGTAATGACATACTCAGCAAAGACGGCGTGCCCAACATCTGCTTTGTTCGTAATAGACGCATTCGACCAGAGTTAGCCTGTTGCACCTGTTCTAAGCATCATGACAATGGCTTTTTATGATACGTCTATCGATCTGCATGCATTTGGTCCCCTTGAGATCTTTCCGTTCGAGGAGAGTTTAGAAGATTGGGAAATTCTAGTCAGACTTCATGTCAAAACTTTTGAATCGTCCGAGAAGAAGCACCGTGAAGAAGTCTGATGAATCCGAAGAAACTTAGCTTCCCATCTGAAGGTCGTATCCAGTCCTGGAGAACTACATGGATAGACACTGAAGTGCTAAGCCCAAGTTCCTGCAGATCAAAGTAAAATAAGTCCATTTCGGCGAAAACAATAGCAAATACTAAGCTCGACCCAACTCTATCCTTGAAAGACAGGAGGGGAGAGAGAGAGAGTACTGATGCTAGTTCATCTATCATTATGGGTCTGTTCCCCTCTTTCTCGAAAAGCTCGAAACCCTTCCTTGCATGTTCTTCCCAACTGGCTGTTCCCTCCAGCTGATGGACACTTATGGCAGCCGCACAGAATTCTTCGAAATCGAACTTTCCATGTTCAATACTACTAACCTGACAAAAGCATTAAGGCAAATTTTCCACAGTTAATATTCTTTTTGATGAGTTGCTTGTTGGCATAGCTCAATTGATGTAATGATAGGGGTATTGTCAACCAGTGCTTCCGGGACACTTGTTAAATATAAATAATGAGGAAATTTTCGATTTTTAAAGCATTAATCATGCATATCACGAGAACTAGAGCATTGAAAATTGCAATATTTCCATGTTCAGTTGCCTAAAAAGTGCTCTGGGAAATGATAATTTAGAGCCTTACCACGTGGGCATAATCAAGTATCCGTGATTGCTTCATAGCATCAGTAGAGTTCTTTGCCACCGCCTGGTCAATTGACACTTGTTACAATAAATTCTCAATTGAAAGAAAAAACAGAAAAGCAAAACCAATCAAGGCCACAAGTAATAGGAAAACAACTGACTGTCTTAAAGTTCTGCATGGAAATAAAACCGTTTCTGTTTGGCCCTAATATTGCAAACTGTTCCCTGAGGTAAGCCAGCTGAGCCACTGTCAATGTCTTTGCGAGAGCCTGCCATAGTGGTAAACTTTCATAAGTTCACTTTTAGAATAGTACATGAAATCTGAACATTCGTGTACTAATGCCCAATTTTAAGGCGGAGAAAGAAAATCGCTGAAAAGTGAAAATTGTTTCACAGTATATGATTATTTTCATGGAAGCTCTGTCCGTCCTCTGATTAGTCCAATCATGAAATTTAAGATGCATCATACAAGCAAAGTTAATCTTTGAGACAGCAGACAACAGGAGATAGACAAACGCAGTAAAATCACCACTTACAAACGCAGTAAAATCACCCACTTACACACAAAGCTTCTTTTCGTAGAGAAGATGACCATATATAGGCTCTTACAAGCCTGTACACAATCATATCTAGTGGTATCTTGACTTCATGGTGAGAAGCCAGCCAAGGATGACCTATTGAACAATATGGGAATGTGAAAGTCAGATCAATATCAATCAGCAATTGGCAATTAGAAATTGATTGTTGTTCTTTATTGTCTTATTCCAGTTTAAATGGCTCTATAGACTTACACAAAGCCTGGGCAGCGGTTGGTCTCTTTCTGTAATCCTTGTTCAACAATCTCTTCACAAAATCAATTGCCTCGGGGGATAGTGAAGGCCATGGGTTTTCATCAAAACTTGGATCTGCCTTAAGAACTGCCCGGAATATTCCAGATTCAGTCCGCGCCCAAAAGGGTCGACTACCACAGAGTAATATATAGGCAATGACACCAATACTCCACATGTCTGCTTCAGTTCCATAGGATCTATGTAGAACCTCAGGAGATACGTAATACGCGCTTCCCACAATATCATTCAACCTTTCATCTGCAGAGACTTCACACTTTAAGCCCAATTCCACATTGTCCACCGATTCAAATAACTTAAAGCTCAATTTGTAGTTCTAACCTGGCTTTACATAGTCAGAAAGTCCAAAGTCAATGGCCTTCAGAGGAGCGTTCTCATCTTTTGTCGTGAAAAGAAAATTCTGGAAAGAAAATCAAGCCACCATTAGTAGACAGGATTGTTGAGGTTGAGACCACTCATTAGTAGGTAGGCAGGGAAGGCCAAGTACCCACTGCATTATTCAACATTTATATACTTAAAAGGATGACGGAACACCTGGAGGCTGGAAAGACCTCATTTTACACCAGTATTGGCTAAAATAATTACAATGACCTCATTCATCCAAAATCAGGTATATTGCCATTCAAGGTCATTAGTTTCTAGTATATAACCATAATGAGAAACCAACATAAAAACAATGGGATAGTATGAAATCCAATAGAGAAAGCTTAAGCAGGGAAAGTGCTGCCATGTCTAAAAATCAAAATCTTATCAAAGCTAACAACATGATTGTACGCTTTGAGACAGAAATATAAGGCTAGCTCAGAAGGGAACCAAGCTAATGTATCTGAAACAACAGGAAGATCAAGATATTAAACTTCAAAGATGATTTAAGTTGCATGAAGACAATGTGAAGAAGTATGATCAGCAACTGATCAATTACCTCTGGCTTTAGATCACGGTGCACAACTCCTTGGAGATGACAGAAGGCTACAGCACTCAATACCTGAACCATAATAGCCTTTGCATCTTCTTCAGAGTATTTTCCACCCCTATACAAGATAAAAATGGCTCCATTCCGTAAGGATGTCAAAGGTGCACTTAAGCACAACTAAAAATATTGGAAAAACAAGCTTAGGACGTCATTAACTAAGCATTAGAAACACTTCTTTACCTTGAAAGTATTCTGTCTAATAATTCACCTCCTTGACATAACCTGGACAACAGAGAATACACTATATAAACCCCAAAAGTTTATGATCAAATATAAATCTACAAATATTCTGCTTAAGACAAATTTTGAACAATCAGAAGTTCCATGGTTGAAATGTTTTTCGAGTATAGCAAACCAAAAATTTACCAAGTTACTGAGCACAGTCAAATAGGTTGAAAAATTGTTGATTCTTCAGCGCTGATTAACCATAACATTTCCCCAATTCGTTGGGAGTCTCTCAGTTCAGATGAACAGAATAATGTGCATTTTGTAGGTTAACTACTCATATGTACTTGGATGATTGCCATATAATTTCCCCTCATGATCTGGTCTAAGTAGTATGACATGTTCTAAATTGACAAGCTCACAGCTTCACACCAGAAACAGTAATGTGACAGAAAACAGAAGCATAGGCATGTGACACAATTGAGACGTACTCCATGACAATGTAAATGTTGTCTTCATCTTCATAGGCGTCATAAAACTGGATCAAATTCTTATGTCCAGTTAACGCCCGCAAAATCTTCACCTCTCTTCTTACATCCTCTATAGCAATTGCAGTAGTCATCTGCAAAGTACAAAAAAGAGATACTTCAATGATTCCTGCAGACAAATGCTCCAAAGCATCACACCTTTAGCAGCAACAGCAACACATACATCCCTATCATCTTTCCATTCCCCAGGAATTTAGTGCCACTCTATAGAGCACCTTCAGCGCAGGCAAGAGAACTTACTTCCTAAAAAACATCACTGATCATCCTTTTTGCTTTCATAAGTAAAATTTGACCGATGGGCCTCGGAAGTCAAGCATGTATGACTCAACACTTCCTTAGTATATGAGCTATGACATTTCAACCATGGTATCCAAGGAGCATTCCACCAAAAACATGACTCTTTATGACCTTCTAGATAGATTCCACTTACTAAACAGAGAAGATAGACTCCAATTACCAAACATGACAAATGTAAACACATGGGCACAAATCAAGGGAGTGAGTGAACAAGGAATTTCTCCAAATAACATGGCCATGTCCTGTGATTCCTATTCTGAAAGAAACCGCACAAAAAAGAGAACCTTCACAAATTTTCTGTAGATTTAAATACACAATGACGCTACTGAATGAACAAGAATCAGAATCCATATAAAATCCTTTCAAGAAACCCAAACAACGGAACAAGATCCAAAGAGGGAACACAGAAGAAATCGAAACCTTTGATTTCGGGATGACTTTGACAGCAACTTCAAGGCCCTTCAAGCTGCCCTTCTTGGCCTTGGCCGAGCAAGTGTACCCAAAATGGCCCCTCCCAATCTCCTCACCCATCTCATACTGCGCCCCGAACTGCTTCGAAAACCCGAAATTTTTGTCCAAACCAATCTCACACTCACCCCCTTCAGGGATGGAGGCCTCATTGGGCTTCACGGTACCATACCTCTTGGCAAGAAAAGCCTTGATGTGCTTCGCCGGGGAAGGGGGCGGGAACGGGCGCTTGAAGATGCGAAGCGGTGTCGAATTCACGCTGCTCGGGTTGCCAACAGCAGGCGAGTTCTTGAAGAGGCTTGGAAGAGGGCTTGGGCTGTAGAATGGGAACTTTGACGCCTTGGGTGTCTTGGGGATCTTCAGGGGCTTGTTCTCAGACACTCCTGAGAGACCAGATTGATGAATCTGTGAAGCTTCATCCGAGAAGGGGTCGTGTTGAAGAGAATTTGCAGCGAGTTGGGATTGAGCTTGCTGGATTTCGATGGGTTTTCCATGACAGAGTCCCATGGAACTTTGCAAAAGCAAGAAGCCAACGGAGCCGCTAACAAGGTGGAGAAACTATGACTGATCTCAACACTTTGAGTTTCAAGAAAGAATTTTAATGGAACAAGAAAGAAGAAAGAGACACTTCCAACTGGATTGGGAAGCTTCAAAATTTTTTTCCTATTTCCCAAGATTGACGACCAAGGGAGGGAGTGTTACAGTGGGTTTTTGAGTTTCAAGGAGGGAACTTTTTTGAGATTGCCAATTCTTTTTCTTTATTTGGCTCCTTTCTCTTTTACACCGGCATCAACAAATTCTTGGCTTATGAACCATTTGAAGGACAGAAGAGAAGAGCTCTAGCGGATGAACTGAAGCTCTTCTAAACAAGCAGCTTCTCATCTCTGATCTTCCCGGAAAGAGCTAGATTTTGCAGAACATCTGCCGGGAAAAATCCCCCCCCACCACAAGCCAGCAAATTCTCAGCAGACTGATCGGGAAAGCAACCCAACTCTTCTTTTCTGTTAAACCCAAAAAAAAAAAAAGTAAACCCAGACAGGGAGGAAGAACTAACAAGAACTCAACAGGTGCAAAAAAACTCAAGCTTGTTATAGAGGTGAAAACAGCAGAGCAAGAAACAACTCCAAGGGAAAATCTTGTGCAAGAAGAAAGGAAAGAATCACAAGGGAGAGAGAGAGAGAGAGAGGAGGAAAAGGCGAGAGAGAGAGGTGGGGGGGAAAAAAAGATGCCTGGCAGAGTCTACAAGGAAAAAGAAAAAGAAGGAACCCCCAAGTCCCCCTTTTTTCTGCTTTATGCTAAGCTTTTTTGTTAATGGTGGTGCAAGAAATTAGCCACTTTATTGTAACAAGGGAACTCCCCCCCCATTTTTCTTTTATTTTCTCCCTCCCTCTCTCCCTCCCTCCCTCTGTGTCTCTCTCTCGGTCTCTCTCTGTCTTCCCTTAGTCAATAATAATGGAAGTGGGGCAGGGGGGGAGTTTTGGATCCTCCCAGCCTGTCCTTTTGTTGATCTGTGTGGGAAAAAGCAAGGGGAAGAGCATTGAAAGAGAGAGGAGAATGCATTTAATTTGCATGGTATTGGGTGTTGTTATTGAATTATATATGTGCAGGAGGAGGGAGGGGGCTTGCATAACAGGATTATGAGCTTAATATAGAGAGCAGAGAGAGAGAGAGCTTGTCTGTGGTGTGGACCTTTGACCCGCTTTTTGTTTTGTGCCCCTTTGAGATGAGAGAGAGAGAGGGAGAGGCCTCCTTTGTCTTTTTGCAAATCCTTTGTTTTTTTTTGGACCTCCTCCTCTTTATCTGGTTTCACTTTATCCATTTTTTGGTTCAAATAAAAGCACCACGTTTCTCATCAACTCCAATTTTTTTGCCAGGCCAATAAAAGGACAGGAGGAAAAAAGAAGCCTGCTTTTTATACCCATCTCTCTTTGGAAAATACTAGAATGAAACTCGAGCCGTGCGCGGAAAAATAATGACTTAACAACAACAACAACAAAAAAATGAATTAGTATTTCGGATGTACTTATCATTTTCAGAGTTGAGATTAGAATTTTACTTCATCTTTTTAATCGCTTGAATTAAAATAAACCGAAACGTTATTGTCGCATAAACATCTTTCATTCATCATATTAGCATAACCATTTGTATATATTTTTAGAAAACTCAGATTCGAGGATGCAATAGCTAGCATTACTTCATAGGGAAAAATGACATAAATGGTCCATGAATCGTAATCTAATATGTAATTTGGTCAATAAACTTTTAATTTGTTCAATATGGCCTTTGCACTTTTTGTATATGTTCAACTTAGTCTCTGAACTATATGAAAAAGTTTAGGAATAGCATTGAATATTTTCATATAGTTTAAGTACTAAGTTGAATATGTACCAAAAGTCCAATAACCATATTGAACAAATTGAAAGTTAAGAAACCACATTTCATATTGGGTTAAAGTTTAACGACCACATTAAATAAATTAAAAAATCATTGACCACATATCATTTGTGTCATTATCCCTACTTTATATCGTGAATTCACATAGGTTATCCTGTTCAAAATTTTCGAGGGCAAAAAACTTTGGAAAAGTATTGGTCCGGCATATCTTCGTAGAAATTGTTAGTAATATATAAGAAGTTAGTGAATGAATTTTTCTATTATTTATATTAACTAATTGTGAACACGATAAATTATGAAAACTTTGTGTGATTTTACCGTTGAGATAAATGTTAGAATCCAAGTAAATTAATATCTCATTAATTGTCGAGATATAAATAATAATGGTATTTCTATATGCAGCCTACCAAAAAATCCTTTTTGTCAAATGAAGGAATGATGAATGCGGAATTGATTTTTTAAGGTATTCAAATTTGCTTTTGAAATTCACAAATCAAGAAAAAAGTGACAATTGGCTTTTTGATATTGACTAAAAGTCTAATATTAATCTAAAAGGTGGAGCTTTTAAATTACTAATAACTCCAAGTAACTTTAAAAAGATAAAAGAAAATTGAACTAAATTTCCAAGCATACCAGATCGATCATTTTACGATTTATCACCTGATAATAACCGGATACTTGGTCCACACTCTGCGCGAGCATGTTTGTATTCACAACTGTGAATAGCTTCATATCTAATCTAAAAATTCGTAATAATGATTTTATCTAAAATAATAACGACTAGGTTACATTCGAGAAAAATAAATTCAGAAAATCAAATAAATTATGCCCTCTCAATAGTGTGCATGATTTCCAAATTAGAAATGCATGAATGAACAAAATCACTCAAAAAAAGGCTTTAAAAAATACCATGTGCACGCGTTGGAGCCATGCATGGATCCTTTAACGTGAAAGAAAGAGAAAAGCAGAAGACGACCTCCTAACCTAATTGTATGATTTGTATCAGAGGAGGAGGAAGACGACGTTTTGTGTAGTTTGTACTATTTATTTGTAACCAAAAATCTAAGTTTAGGTAAATATCAAATTCAAATAGTGGCTAAGGTAGACTCAAGATAATTTTTTTTATCAAGTATTTAATATATAGAAAACATATATATAGAAGCACAAGTTACAATATAAAATTTTTCGTAAGAGTATTGAGCCACGTGACAAAACAATGTTGAGTATCATGAAATGTGGTGAGGACAGAGTTAAAGAGAAGTGCCCCGTGACGAGCACATAAAGAGTATTCTCTCAGCTCGGGCTTTAACTATGTACTAAAATAGATTACCCGAAACACATTCGATTACTAGGGAAATGGATTATATCAATTATGGGTAGAAAAATAATGGGAAAGAGGCTTTTTGCAGAGATCCTATTAATGTCCCACAAATAATCACTTATTTCTTTTTTTGAAAAGCATATCTCATCGAATTTCGTGTTTGAACTTAATTTGATTCGCGAAAGCTGACTATCAAAATTATTATCGAATCTCATAAGAAACGTTATCAGATTAAAAAGAGTACGGAATATTTCATGTTACCCTCCACAAGTTAGGATTGTTGCACATTAAACCCCGAATTTTAAAATTTGATTTACCCTCCCGAACTTGCATTTTGTTACACTCGTTGACATCGTTAACTTTTTCTTTTAGCATGTTCCGTGCACCTTCGAGGGGTAAAGTGTAGTTGTTCCTCCAACTTTGATATCAAATACACTTCCTACCTTCAATTCAAACAAGTAACAAGATAGAACGAACTGAAAGAAAAATCAACACCACTTAAACTTTTTATTAGTCGAAAACTCGACATTAACCCGCAAAAATTCCACGTCCCACTAATCAAAATTAGATCTAAAGTCATGACTCACGAGACACAAAATTGCATGCCAATATTACAGACTCAATCTAGATCTTTCATTTAATATCCCCAAATATAATTTGTTTATAACTCATATTTCGTCAACATGCGGGTGCAATTGGACTCCCACTAAGGAAGCAACAAAAATTTGACGTCACTTGTTAATTTTTTTATCAATATTATTTTGTTGGCCGGAACTGTCACTTGTTAATTAAGATAACGTAATCGGAGTGGGAGTGGTTGCGGTGCTTACCCAATGTGAAGTGACGGATATATAAAGAAAGGGGGAGACGTGGTCGCTAAGGTATCACCGGCGGATCCAAATTTTTTTTTTTTATCTTATGCCTTGCTTGGTCACCTTTGAATTCATTCATCATAGACTCGCATTGCATGGACACTAAAAGGAAAGTAAAATTGGGGTGAATTGCATCATCAATTTCTGAAAAATAAAATATATATAGCGTGTAGATGTGTTAACGTAGCGTTAACTCCGTTAAGTAATTATAAAATATGCTCATGTGGTGGTGTCCATGTGTTTGTCTCCCCCTCTCTCTCTCTCTCTGACGTAATTTCCCACCACCGCCATCACCACTCCGTTCGGCCACCGACGACTAATTAACTACTGTCATTCACCAAAAAACACCAGCCCACCACGGCAAACCACTAAGTCCATCGCCACTTTAGCTATTAAATCGAAATATGTATCGTGAGTCAAATAAGAAAGAGAAAAGAAAGAGAGAAGAAAAAAAAAGAAAAGGAAAATTATATGCTCACTTGGTGAAAAAAAAAAACAAAATTACTTGGTAATCCATCTCATTATTTTGACGTAATTATGTAGTCCACGTCCACAAAATCACCTGACATAATACTCAAATTAACGAAGACCTCACGTTGAACGCGGTCGAAAAAGTTGAGATACTTGATTGAATAAAAGGTTCAGGTTCTCGATTGCAGAGTCAGGAAAAAGAAAATACATATACTTGAGGTATCATTGTCTAAAATAAAATAACGATAATGTTACAAAATGTGCTTATACTCTTAGTCACGATTCAATTAGGTTCTTATTTTTTTTTAAAAATCCTATTCAGTCTAGTCTACTCATTACGTCCACCCATTTTTGTCTCTCTAATCAAATTGGTTATGGTCAGCATCCAATGCGACGGCTCGGTTCTACTGTTGAAACGCCCATGGTTAATGTGTCTCTCGATTTCCACGTTAGCAGAATTATAGAAAAAAATTAGAGAAAACGACTTGAGAGAAAGAGAGCGGCATTCCCTCCTTCGAAGAATGGTGGTGCGGCCCCCTCCACTCGTTCATTTCCCTTCTAACTTGTTGGTTGATGTGATTGTACATGTTAGTGACTATGAACCTCACGATCCCAAGAATACGTGAAGCTATTCTTCCCATCATCCCTTAAAAGAAGAAAAGAGAAAGATCAATCGTGGAAAATTGGAAAGCTTTGGCATAATCTCATTGTTGGGTACGCAACGGGCAAAGTCGAATCGACGACACACAATGTCGCTTTCTGCGTGGTGGTCGATCGACGAAAACAACACTAAACCTTACAAAAGTTCGCTGTTTCTTTAGCCCCAAGGTTTAGACCTTCTTCTTTTCTTTCTTCGAGGAAAAATAACACGAATAGTTCTGAAACGTCGGTTTGATGTGCACTGTTGTCTCTAAACTTTAACTCAATATGCAATGTCGTCCCTAAATTTTTAATTTATTGAACGTGGTCCATGACCTTTGGTCTAATGTTCAATACAATCCTTGAAATTTCAAACATTTTCATATAATTTATGGACTATACTTAACATTTACTAATAGTTCATGGATCATATTTAACAAATTAAAAGTGTTAGGGCAATATTGCACATTAGGCTAAAATTTAGGGATCACATTGCATAATTTAAAATTTCAGGGACAACATCAAAGACCATTTGTATTATTATCCATTTCTTTTATTGCATGTCCCTACATGGTTTGATTAAAACACGGAGCCCATAAGCCTTCACATCAAATTGTTTTTCTTTCATCA